CCGCCGTTTCTCTTTATCACCTTCACTTTTCTTGCACGATCCCTAGAGACGAAATCCACCGTTCGTGCAAGGAGTAATACAAGGTGGTCAAAAGATCCATAAACAGCATCAAGCTTACCAATTCCCGACCTGGGAGGACACGCTCCCCATATATTAAACGGCATCCTAATGGAGAAAAAGGCTTGTTAATATCCATTTGTTTCAAAAGATATTTGGTTGGAAATCGAACATACAGCAATGGATTCCCACCGATCATGCTTTGATAGGCATCCTGCTTGCAATACCACCAGTACAGGTCGCTCCGGATCCGATACTCTTCGATATCCCCAGCCGTGAGATTCCTCTCAGACGCAGTCATAGGGCGTGCGCCCCTTACAGTCCCGAAATCATTATAACTCATGGGTCTGCCCATCAATGTGCTAATCAATTCGTCATCAGTTTCAGCCTCCTTGTCTGCGAACAAATCGTTTTCGAAGCGACTGCCTATTTGTGGAGCAATCATTCCCATCCAGGGCATTGATTGAGCAAGTTGCATATGCTCCTGCCTAGCCCTTGCTCTCATAGAACGGATATCTCTTGTCATACCCGCAAAATCCACTTCCTGGATCAGTTGTGATGCCCCCGCCACATGACTGTTCCATTTTGAGTGTTCAGCACCCATGACTTCATAGAAGCCAAGAAGCAATGTCGCAGCTAGAGTTGCTGTTTGCTTACGGCGACCTGGAAGTTTGACAGCCTTCGAGATACGTCGCAAGGCATAGTGGTAGTGGCGGAACGATGCCACGAGAGATGACCCCTGCATTTTTGCAATGTGATGGCTGCTGAGAGCTAAAATTGCGTGCAGCAAGGCTTGGTTTCTAAGAGCAAGTGTAGGCAGGGTGTACGTCCAAAGACTCTGTTGGGAAGGTGGGATTGGTGCAGTGGATAGAATCACTGTTGGGTTCACTGGATGTCTTTCGAATATAGACAGTACAGGCGCAACTGAAGTAATAAAATGGCAGAATATTCTCGTCACCTCGGGATCCATAAGGGGAGATGCAAATGGCGAAGGGGTGTATGACGTTAGGGATGACTCGTCGTTCAGGAAAGCAGTGTTTGAGCGGAACGGATGAATGAGCTGCGTGGCGGTTGATTGGGGCACTTCCGTTTCATATGGCTGCGGATAGCTGTAGGTTTGAATATCCATCTCTTCGTCAGTTTGGACATCGTAATAGTCATCAATTTCATCTTCGTAGAAGTAATTAGCTGGTTGTCCCGCATTACGGTCTGGAAACCCAAGGGTGTAATTCTCAACGGATGCTGGTTCAAACTTGTTGGTACTAGGTTGACCTTCATCTGTACCAATCAATCTGTTTAGCTTAAATTTCACACTATGGTAAAGGGGGAAAGAAGGGGGAAGGGGGAAAGTAAGGGAGGGAGGGGGGGGAGAAATAAGGGCCATACAGTTGGCTTGTTGAAAAGAGGATGAATTCGATTGATCGAGCTACAGAATATTAGAAGCTTGGACAGACAGTTGAAAATTTATAACTTACGTGAAAACGGTGCTCAGGTTGAGGTTGACCTGAAGACATATAAAATTGATGTGCCATCTGCTTAGAAATGATCCCTGATGGCTTGTAATCACCCAGAAAGGTGTTGTCCAGGGATCGTTGGGGTGAAGGCAATTCCAAACGAGTATCTAGGGCATGCTGCGGTGTTTGCTGCAGCGTTTCTGAGAGTGGCAAACCGGTACCCTTTGTGCTTTGAAAGTTATAGAACTCACTATAGAAGTCATGTTGGTCTTGGCTGCTGTTGCGGTTAGGGCTTAGTTGCAAGGGTTGGTGCTCTGGGACAGACGTATGTTGTGATTCACCATGTGCAGCACTTGTAGCGTCCTGATTTGGACGTGGCGCAAGCGGGATGAAAGGCGCGCGTGTACCAGAACCTTCAGGTCGGGAACCTGTGGAGCCGATAGGGCGACGCAAGAACGGAAGAGGATCTGCTTCCGTTCCAGGTTGGGTGTAGGATTGAGGTATGGGGCCATGGCTCAAATGGGACATGGGCCCTACAGGGTTTCTGAAAATCACCCGTTGGGCATATCCCTCACATTCTCGCTTTGATTTTTTGCAATTGTTGCAGGTGGGTTTTTCCTCTCCGCATTTTATGCGACGTTTCCTACATGCTAGAGTAGGTAGGTGAGTTCTACCAATTCTGATAATGACTTTGCTCAGGGCTGAACGTACTCAAGCAACCAGTTTTGGTCCTTCTCCTTGGGCCTTTGACCTTCAGCGGAGGGACATTTTTTGGAGTTGGTTCCGGAGCTGGAATCGGGCTGCTAGCAGGAGGGCTCTGCGCCTGTATTGGCGAATGTTGGTCTCCTCCATCCATTGTGCCGGGATTTCCGTGAAGCGATCGAGAAGGGGAGGCAGAAGCGGAGAACAGTTATAGAACTGAAACAATGGGGACAACTAAGATGCCTAAACTCTAAGGAAATCCATACAGAAAGCTCGATCTGTAAGGAATGATAACGTAGAAAGCAGGAGATGACACCGATTGACAACAGGTAAGAGTAAAACTGAGAGGGAGTTTCCAGGCAATTCAAACTAAAGAAAGAGGATGAAAAACGGTGTAAGTGGAGCTAATAAATGAAAAGCGTTGGCCAGGTAGGCAATCAAGATAAATAAGAATGCGGCGCTTTTTAAGTTCTCAATGCTGGGAGATATCTCAGCGGGAGCGTTTGCATGCAATTGAAGGGGATCGGTAACGGCACATCTGATAGGCAGTCACTTCACCAATCGCAACCAACGGCAGGCTGACCAGTTCAACAGAAACGGGGTCAACAAACTACAGACAGGGATGATAAAGAAGCAGCTCCAGGTCGACCAGAAACTGGGGAAGATACCACCTGCACGGAGACGGGAGAATGCTATGCAAGGAGAGAATGTTTATCTAGCTTCATGCCAGGGAGCTCGCAGGGAGCTCGGGTAATCAGGCTGGCTGTCAATGAGCCAGAGCTATTAATAGGAATATGAGTTGGCCCTGTGGCTCTGGCATACATAATCCTTTACTCCCAGTCAGGGCTCAGAAGTCCAGGACACAGAACGCTCGGGATGGCAGCTCTCTGCAGGAGAGTTTTGAGCAGGAAGCGGCGGCAGCAGCCTCGCAGTCAGTGGTTGGGCATTCAAATGAAAGTTAAAGATGGGTCAAGAGATGGTGACTAAATTTGCAATTAGCTTAAGTTATGTTAACTAGTTGCACAACCATTCACTGATCAGCACGGGGTTCCGCTAACTAACTCCTTTAGTGGTTGATGGAGACTTTCAAAAGAATTCATGTGCCTTTGTGTGGGTGTTTTTTTTTTTTTTTTAATTTATTTTTATCTTTCAACTTTCAAGTTTCAACAGGATCCTGTGTTTATGTGACAGGCCAAATGGCGGGCAGTTGAGGAATCCGGGACAACCGTTAAAATGGTCAGTTATTATTTAATGGGTAAACGGGCGTTGGATTAACAGCGGTTATTAATAAGGCCCTTTCTTTTTTAAGCAGGGGGTGATTTTTAATTAAAAACAACACAAAAGAAATCCACGACAGACAGACATTTGAGATGGCATGCTTTTTGTGATTCTCCGTACAGTAACTCCAACGTGCTCTCAGGCTGACTTATGAAGGAGAGAGTGGATTACCTACCGAGCGTCAGCATCATAATTCAATTTGAGACAACAAAAAGGTTTGATGGTTTTGTCTGTCCGTCCGTCCGGTTTTTCTCTCCATCCGTCAATATCTCAAGCACACAAGAATACGACGAGTTTGTTATTTATTATTATTATTATTATTATTATTATTGCGGGGTAAATAGTCAATTACTTGCCCTTTGACTGAAGAACCAGATCGACCGACTCAACCCCGGTCATAAAAGAAACTGCAGGCAGAGTCTCTCCATCTCCAACAGTTACAAAGTCACCAACACATTGACAACCTCTCCATGGATGATAGATTATCTTTTCTTTTCTTTTCTCTTTTTTTCTTCTTTTTTTTTGTTGATCAGGAAGTCAGTTTCCCCATGCCAGATAAATTGCTCTCCAAGCCCAATTCCACCGCTTTGGGACCTCTCCCTCTGGCTTCGGCTGGCTGATTGGCTTCAAAAAATCCCCCCTCCCATGTCTCACCTCTAAATTCTAATGAGGCTCTGATAACAAACTTCGCTGATCCGTTGAGCGGTCATTACTGAGCCCTTACGCTTGGCTTCGTGTTTAACCAATTGCGTCCTAGGGTGCCCCCATTCCTCATTTCCTGTTTCATTTCCCCAATAGTCTGATTGATCCTGTCCCGAATCCGAAAGTCCTATCTTAGACATCCGGTCCATCCTATCGCAAACAGACAGTCAGAAAACGCATACCAAAACTCAGCTGAAGAGCCGCAAAATTATGGACGTTGCACGAGGAAAAGGAAAAGGAGTTTCAGACTGGGCCTGCATAAAATGATCAGGCAGGGTGACTGGCAGTGAGGGGCCACTTTGCTCCTGGAAGATGGCGGTGCCTTGCTATAAGCATATTCACTTGTTAGTCCATACACAGTTTTGCACTTATGCATGTCCCATGTACCGGAGCATTGTACTATCAATCCACCAGGTCACCTATTTGTTATTTTATGATCCTTTTCAGTCAGTATGGGCATTGTACGGCAAAACTGGGCAATTCTGTTTCATCAAAAATTGGGAAATCAATATGGATATGTTAACTAATTACTTCACCTTACCATGACCATCTTCCTCCAGGTAAAGTAAACCTGGGATGCTTTTGCGCTCATGCAGACTATCTCGTTAATCCGCCTCTCAAGATTCCAGCTCCCAAGCAGATGGATTAAATTTGATAGAAAACTAACTGGTTCCTCAACCTTCCCTTGTGCATACCCTTTTCATGTACATACATACTGTAGTTACCTCACCCAACTTCGACCCACTCACTTGGTTGCTGGTACATGAGGTAATTTTTCACTTTTCTCTCTGGCCCAATCCAAACCTTTCAACCAACGTTTTTCTGGGGTTCGACAGAGTCAGGGTGGCCCATGTCGACTCCTTGATTCCTCTTGACATGGATGGGAGCAACTTCGGCGATGACAGGAATCTGTGGCTTGAAATCAACGTGGGACTAAGGGGATTTTCACAGATCTAGTAAATCCCGACCACTTCCACCGTTAGCTGATAGCTTAATTAAGTCATTGTTATACTCCCGCCGCCTCGTTCGTATTGCCCCATCGCAACAAACGACGTGGCATGTAAAAGACAATATCCTGATTCTAACCCGACCCCTGAGATTTTATTTTTTATTATTATTATTTTTTTTTTCTCGCAGAAAAACTCCTTGATTATTTGCTTTCAGAAGAACGAAATTCTGCAAACCATTGTAAAAATTAACTCGTTTTTAAAAGCCATTTGGTTTTGCGCCCACTCGCCGAAAGGCATGCTGAGCATCAAAGCAATTCCTGTTCTACAAACTCTCCCGGCCATACTGGGGAAGTAAATCTTTTAGGTTGTGACGGATGGATTTGGGAAACAATGGTGATAGTTTATCAATTATAAACCGAGAGGGTGACCAACCCTCTCCTTGTGTAGTATCGTCTGCAAAAACCGCACGTTTCCTGATCAATTTGGCACTGCTCAATAGTTATACCTGGGACTTACGTCCTCAGATTCAGGGTTACCCATGCTATTTGTAGAGAAATGTATTGATGATGATCCGGGAATCCCGGATCCTGGTTAAAGCTTTGAAATAATGCATGTGGCAGTGTCCGTGCAGAATAAGTCCATGACAGTTCCGTCTCCATGAGGCCCAATGTGCCACAGAGTATTAATGTGTGTTCAGTTTAACAGGCTAACCGGGATGTCTTCTTATGCTGAAATCAAAGCAGAACGCAAAGGAGCAGTGGATTTATTTATTCATTTATATTTTTTTTAGGGGAAAAAATATTTACCTTGACGTCCGGGTGTTAAAAGGGCGGTTCAACAGAGATACTGGCGAAACCAATACTCAAAGAGTTTACAAACAAGATCGAGTTGAATTTACGAATGTCTGATTGCCGATATTTAGAGATTATTTTGATTTATTTTTCTAGGAGATCAGAGGAACTAGGTAATTAACTATTTCCAGGGGAATATATAAAGTGAAGAGGACGGAGATATATACAAATGAGGGAAATCGTGTTAGTCCAAATGGAGGATATCCGTGCATGGATTTGATTTTCCCCCCTTCTTCTTTTCTTGTCAGTTTGCAGCCTGTCCCTTTTTTAAAATTCAGCCTTCAAGTACTCCAGCGGTACCTCGGGTAATTTATCAACCCCATCCAACAAAACAATCCCCATCCCCCCTGTGAAATGCGTCTGGATATGGCAGTGTAGCAAAAAAGGCCCTGGATTAACCACATGATACCGAACCGCCACCCAGCCCTGGTTCTGTTTTGTACCAGGAGGTGATGTAAACCCATCGACAAACCGCGGTGTTTCTAGGTTGAAGAACTGCGGCATCTCTTTTATAGCGTCCTCAACAGTGTCCCAAGGAAACGGCCCTGTCCCCTTGCCAATCAAATAAACTTTATTCGAATGCTTGTGGATCGGATGTGGAGGGTTGAATATCCCGTCTGTTATAAGAATTAGATCTACCCATGTGCCGTTCTTTGTTGGGAAGGTCAGGTTTCTATTCGATCCAAGCGGCCCATTGATGTCGAAAAGAACCGGCTTGACGCCTTGCGAAATGTTTAAAGAGGCTTCTCCGCTAACGGTCCAGCGAAATGCTGAGCTGAAGAATCCAAAGTCGAATTTGTAAGTTGTATCGGCTTTAGCAGCTGGTTTAGATGGGGGGAACGGGACGATCTTGTTCTCTTCAAGAGCGACAAAGTCTGCCGTTAAGTTGAGCCCGTTGTAGTCTATGGAAGGCTTGCTAGGCTTCCTGGGGATGTTTTTATCCTGGCCTTTATATCGAAGTGTTCCAAACCCACTGAGGATTTGGCTGCTTGCAACGTTGGCGGCACGTATGGTGTAGTCTCTGCGCGGCTTATCGAGCCTAACTAGTGCTGAAAATCTGTTGCCGTTGGCGATGGGAATCCCGTCAACGAGAACGGGATCGATGTAATGTCCATCCACCGCATACACCCACATTTTATGTTCATCGATGCTTAGCATGAAGGTAGCAATTGTTGCCGAGTTTATAAAGTTTAAGCTTGCCCAACCGTCAGCAGGGTTGACTGTAATAACCTCATGTTCTCCATGGCTTGGGTGGCAATTGTAGAAAAGGTCTTTGGGGACTTTCTCGGGAACAATTGGAAAATCACCAACGACAGAAGGCAAATAATACGGAAGACACCTTTAATAAAAGTCAGCTTCTTCGACTGCCACCCTAATCGGCGTTTTATAGACGGACCCTTTATCCGTCAAAGTTTCATTTACCAGAAGCATTGATTGATCTCGTCTTGCCAATCTATTCACCTCATCTTGAGTCTTGCAAATGACCGATCCCTTCCCATTTATCAAGATGCTATCAGAACAGAAATTATCAATCCCTGATTCTAACTCAACATTAAAATACTCTGCCGCAGTGAGATGATGCCAATCAGACAAAAATATCGGTATTGGTTTCAGTTCAGCCTTCTTGATACTCTGCAAGTCTTTTGCCGAACTGGAAATTTTCCCGAACGGTGCCAGCCGGCCCTTGGCAGGATGAATCACAATTGCCCCGAACAGGCCATCCGAGACCTGGCCATGTACATGACCGTGGTGCCAGTACGTGCCGTATTCGACAGCAGTCCACCGGTAGATAAAGCTTTTCCCTGGTTGTATAGCTCTTTGAGTAACATCAGGGACTCCGTCTGACCATGGTGTCCCTTTCTGGGAAATCCCGTGAAAATGTATGGCTGTCGAAAATGGAAGCGAGTTCTTAACAACGACCTCGACCTTGTCACCTTCTATGACATCTAGTTGAGGTCCTGGAAATTGGTTATTGGTGAAAATCATTTGCCGCTCAACTCCGTCAGGAGAAGCAGTTACCCATGTGAGCTCAAGTTCAAATCGACGAACGCCAGGGGAATGGGGTTTGCATTGTGCGGCTAAGGCCACTTGGGGCAGGAAAATAAACCAGGTGAGAAAAAAAGAGAAAGACGGAAGCATTGTGGAAGTATATCGCAAAGCGCGGGAATTACTGTTACGATTTCATGAAGTATCGGAGAGAGAACAACCAAGGGTGATGTGAAAGTATCCCGAATAAGGGACAGACCCGCAGGAAATATAGCAACATGACACGCTGTCAAAGTAGTAAAAGAGGATAGAGGGCCCCTGTGAGAGAAGCAAGATTCATCTTATTGGCTTGGTATTCAACAAGACTGAACTCAGCTCTGCATTCTCAACGCGGTAGATAGATCACTAAACTCAGGCGTTCAGTCATGGTCACTTGGCCCGGACAGGCAGAAGGTATACACATCGTTTTCCTCTTCAAGTAGCAGAATTAGTTCAAAAGGCGTCATGAGGTGGTATCAGACCAGGCGCAAAACAATTTTAATCCACCCCGGGGATTAGAGGTGTCATGAAGTGATATCTGGCCATGCGCAAACCAATTTTTATGCGCCCCCGGGATTCCAGCCTGACAGCAGGGAGAAACGGTTGCTCCGCATATTTATAGCAGCTGAGGCTAGACTGACACAACAGAAACGGGGGGAACCGCTGTTTGATTGGTGATTGGTCCCCATTATTGGGAATAATAACCCGCAAGCTGATGGAAGTAGGGCAGAATCAAGTGCGGCTCAGTTACTACCTCTTTCTGGGGTAGACTCCCTCGAGAAAGTTAAACTATTTAAGCCGTGTTGCAGTGGGACAAAAACCCGTTATATGACGGACAATTTTCCTGGGAAGCGTTAGCGACTCGGAACCACAATCTTCACTTCATCTCAATTCACCTGCCTTCAAGAATATATTCCTTACCTAAATTTAGGAGGAGGAACTTGATCTTCCTTTCGTGTTGACAACTTACGCCGAAGTCGAGCCGCACAATCCATCGTCCAACATATCACTTCGTTCATAGCCATAGCAGTATCGTCTCTGGGATTGATGATAGATGGAACACGCCATAACTATGCAGATGTCGGGGCTGTGTCATGGCGATCTCTACCACCATGAGGAGCGGGTCGAGCGCGGCTGAAGTTGCGCATGGATCAGCGGTGGGCTGCTTAGCACCTTGGGAAAACTCAAAACCATAGCAGTTAACAATTGTAGCGAGGGACCCTGAGCTCTAAATTTCGACCAAATTAGGCGTGGGAGTCAAACTAAGTAAGGATATCAAATTCTTAAAGCTCATGATATTGGATATACAGAGGACTACCTATTCGGACCAAAATAATTAAAGGTGAAAATATGGCCTATGCGAGCGTGATGTGAGGGAACTAAAATATAAAGACAGAGAACAAAAACAGAGCCAATCAAGTGGTGAATTACACTGAAGTCACATATGGTCAAATGTTCGGTTCGTCGCTTGTTTTGACATGAGTTAACAGTAAATCGTGGTTAAGGTAGTTAACTAGTTACTTGGGTAGTTATTTTATTGTTTGCGATCTCTAATCCTCAGGGCATAGGCGGCGGACGCCACTCCGAAAATTCCACCACATCCAATGTCATCTACTCCCTCCCAATAACCACATACAATTCATACAACATCCAAGACTTTGTCTCCTCGAGATTCTTTACCGCAGCTTCTTTCTGAATCGCAATTTGATCTAGAGAAAGGGCACGCCCGTCTTTGTCAGCTTCAAGGGAAGCATGGAGTACATGCTCAGCAACCTTAACGGTAGCCATGTTCATGATGTCTCTCCATTCAGGTTTATCCAAGGGGATGATATTTTCCTTGCATTCTCTGAGACCGCATATTTTGAAATTGGAGTAGAGCTCAGTCACGCTTCTGTTCGAACAGGGAGGGATGAGGATGATACATCAGCATGTGCAAACCTGGTACACCGAGATTCTAAATGGTCAACTCACTGTCCCGATTCACCATGAATACTCGCAGTCTTGGTTATGTGCTTAAAGAATTTATCCGCATCTTCCACGTTACAGCCGGGCTTGCCAGGTATGATGGTGCCTTTATGTATGGCAATATCAGTCCATTGCAAAAAGCCTCCCGGTCCTGTAACTCCATTAGCTTGACCAAGGATTCATGCAGCTGTTAAAGGCTAATCTCACGAAGAAGCTTTTTAAGGTTCCGGATAGCCAATTCCCACTCATTAACTTTCAGACCCATGACCAGCAGTTTGACATGGACAACATCATACTGTCCCAGAAAATTATCTGGAAAGGGTTCCAAGATATCCTGGACATAGTAGTTAATATTTGATGGGAATACGTCTCTATCCGGAACCTGGGCAAGCGAGATATCGAATCCGTCAAGCCTACAACTTTTCGGCAGTAGCCTTGCAAGGTCCCGTAACCATATGCTTATATTTATACATCAGCAATTTGTTAGGATCCGGGGCTACACCAAATCTTTGCTTCGAGGTTAAGCGTAGGTTTTTACTATACCCTGTTCCTGTTCCGACATCGGCGATACGCATATTATCACGTTGGGGAATGTCAGGGTGTAGCAGAAATCCCATATTCTCATGGCAGGCCTGATGTTGCATATCCAGTCTGTAATCCGTCAGCTAGTGCGACAGATAACTTGAGGGAAGGCAGCGAACCGGTCGCTTTCCGCTTTGGTTCTTGTTATGAGATATCTCGAATCATGGCCAGCCGAAGCCATTGTCCAATGTGAGAGAGTAAGAGAGTGATTTGGGTGTGAGGTTTAGGCAAGGTGGGAAAAGGGGAATGGCAGATCGTCCGAAGTTGGTCTTATAAGAAAGAGCACGGTATCCTGTCATCACAATTCCGGGAATGCCCTATACTAGTTATATACTCTTCTTCCCTTATCTAATCGACAGTCCAATCAGCGGAAAACAGATTTGAAAGTTTCTCTTATTTCTCTTGCTGGCGCACGGTGATACTTCCCTCTCTATCAATTGGTCTGAGCTTGGGAAGCTAATAACTGTCAAGCATTGCAAATCCACTAACATCTGGACAGCCAATCAAAGTCTCCAAGAGCGTGACTAAATCTTAGCGAGTGAGACTTGTCGAACCGACTTACATTAGTGTGGAAAGGAATACCACTCCCAGCAGAATCGGAAGGCATTTTTAAATCCCTCAGAGCCTGCAATCAACGACCAAATGTGCGTGAGATTTCCCCCGCCCAGGAACTTTATTTTGTGAGGGTAATCCCATTGTCAAAGTCCACAGAGTTATTTATGCACTGCAGATAGAAACAAATGACCATGCCAATAAGCCCTTATTTTGTTGCAGACATACACATACACGCACGCACACACACAGAATGTCTTCCAAAAGTTGCCGACATCGCATTGGACTTGTCAGCCCATGGAGAAATTCTCCATCCACTCCTGCCGACTCACTGCTTTGTCGTTTGGTATTCAGTAAATGCCATGGGTGCGTCGTGTTTTGCAGACAATCTAGGTACTTCGTACGTAGCACGCATTGCTGAAGAAGCAAGGGCTCATATCGGCAGCGTCACTAGGATACCCTTGGTCCGGGAAAGGTGAATCTAACATGCAGATATATAATGGAAGAAGCACTTCGAAGAATGAACAATGAAATTTGCCCGCCTAAACCCCCGTCAGCTTTTAAGTTCTGGGAAAATTATAGAAGATTGCATAAACAACGTTTGGATGGAGTTGCTGTGTTTAGATAACTAAATGCATCCATGAGATATTTAAAAAGGCATTGACGCTACCTAATTTGTAATTTGCTAGGCAAAACACGAACAGGGGATGGACGTGGTAGTTGACGATGACGATGACGATGATGGTGTGTCTCTTTTCCTTTCCTTCCTCACACTCATTTATTTTTTGTTATGTGATTATTGCTGTGGCTGGCGATAGAGTATGGCATTTTCGGCATCAATCCGATAGTAGGCCAGGGCCATCTGCTCAGTAAATACAGCGCTCTGACTCCCAGCTGTGACTTCCAGGGTTCGAACTTGTACGATTTCGAGTACGCCGGGATTGACCGCAACTGTTCATGAAGTGCTGGCGCAACGGCTTGAAGAACCAGCAAATGAATTGCAGTCACATACGGTAGCGCATGCCTGCTGGCGGTGGATCCTTGGATATTGAACTTGTCAGCTTCAGTCTCGCCCAAGGGATGTGGCAACCACTGGATGGAAAATGTTGGGGTTTTAGCCAGATGCGGTCAAGAAAAACTAAGAATTGACAAAAATGGATCGACACCAACGGCGTCATTGGAGAAGCCCCTAGGACAGACCTTTTCCCATAATTGTCCCTGCTGGGATTCATTAAACGTTCAAACGTCATCTGGGGGTGAGGAATAACTGAAATGAATGACAGCTTCGGAGAACTACTTTAACGTGTATTATTGTTTCTTCATTGGGTTTCCCAAAGGTGTATTCTGAGGCCCATTGAAGTCTGCTTATTCCCCTGATTTCCCAATTACCCGAAGATCCTATTTCATATACGATTAATAAAGGCACCGAGAAACATACTTTCAAGTAAAATCCAGGAACCACACATGCCCGAGAGCAAATGGCTAGAGCTTCTAGCAACCAGCTGACAACTGCTGTTTATTGATTGGATGGAAGGATATTGCCCCCTATGTCTAGCGGGATTCAAAAGCTCCCAATGGATAACCGGAGAGGACAGAAACACACCTGCGGGTTATTATTGGAAAACGGGAATTTCTTTTTGAAACTGAGACTTTCTAGAAATACAATGGATCTTTTAAGCGATCTCCTTTTTGTATCTAAAATGTGGTAAAATGTGGTATCAAAGTATTCAAACACTCGGATATTTATTTATTGATGTTGAGCAGGAAATCGAGAGTTATTGACGTGGAGATTTGCAATTCAAACCTTCAACAAAAGTTAAGAAATTTCCAGGATAGTTTGACTTCTTAACCCCGATGACGGGGAAGTGAAGTAAATTCTCTGCTTTGTGAAGAATGACAAGTTAGTAATTTTTACAGATTTAGAGAGGTTACATATGGATTGATACATACATTAATTACATATTGACTATACTTTATAGAAAAGAGAAACAAAGCAAAAGGAAGAAATCATATCTAACTGTTCCAGCGTGATAGATACTTGGTGCGCCATGACTCGGTATTATTGGGTGGCCCCGATGTGCTCTTTTTCCTGCTAGGTGTGCCGGAGATCATAAATTCCATTGACTGGTTGTGTGAAACTGATGATGGTACGGCGCTAGGCTCATTTGAGATTTCTATTACTGTCGTCTGATTCACTTGGCCAAGGTCAGCGAGTTCAACAGGGTCGATGATATGGTCCGTTGAACTTGAGGCCGATTGTCGGCTTCGTGCGTTTCTGATAGCGTTGGTGTCCTGTTTAACTGTGGTATTCTCTTTAACCCACTTTCCTCTTCCTCCTCCGATGGTTGATGGTGCATTTGCATAGCCAGTGGTCCGTCGCTGGCTGCTAGTCGTCCCGGCAACAGTTTGGAGATCGGTTTCGACAAGACGTCGTCGTGTGAAAAAGTACAAAATCGCGTCAACCCACCCAGAGCACATCATCATACCGCCTGCAATATGGAAGTAGGTCGGTCCAGCATTAAGGCCGCGCATCATAGCCATTAGGCCCGCAGCAATCGGAAGGGAGAGAACAACATAGGCTATAGGGTACAGTATCATTATTCTTAACACCTTGTTGAATCTTTGTCGAGTTGGATTTTTCGTTCCTCGGAATTCTTTTGACTTGTTGATACGGCGACGGACGATGATAAATATAGTCGCGTACACAAGGACGACGCCAAATTCAGCGATGAAGACCCAGAGATAATGTAAGTAGAGACGTTCTTTTTCATACAGACTATCGATCCAGCACTAGGTAGTTCGATGTCAGTTAGACTTGAACCTGAGTATTGGGCAAGCACAAAAAGTTCGGGAACAGGGATCTTACCCAGCCGCCACCTGGGCGAAACACATTCTGTCCACGAACCGCTGCACCAGTAATAGCGAGAGTCACACAAAATGTCCATAGCACAATGACACTAGCCACAAAGGTTCGATGTTCCAAGTGTTTTCTCGTGATGACGACTGTAAAGGTATGGAGAGCAATAGCCAGAATAAAAAGACCACTGGAAATATCACCAATAGTGGTCAGCCAACCCTGGAAAAAGCATGCGGTTGTCCGGGCCGGCATTGCATCGAGAGAGAGCCAGTAGGGAGCTATTAAGAAGGAGCCTGCTTGCTGCATGTCTGCGAGTAAAAGATTGAAAATCAAGACTATGCATTGATTGTATCCCGGGTATCTCGTGTAGTACCGTTTCCAGAAGATGAATCGATAGGTGAGCCATACCAGTGTGCTAAAAGTGGCAATTGCCGAAACCAAGGCGCAAGTGAAGAGGACGATGAGTCCTTGACGAGCCCCCCCAACGAAAGGGCGTTCGGGACTCTCGTCGCGAGGCATCAGTTGCACCGAGGTGCTGAGTAGGTAGCCGACCAAAGCCATTGGAACAGCAGTCTTTGTTTCCAGTTGCCTCAGATTAGGTGTCCATCGGTTGTTAGATTATATATCAACATAAAAAAACAAGACGGAATTTGCGCCCTTTTAGCGACATTGGAGGAGCAACGAACTGGCAGAACATTCCTTCAGCACATATTCCGTGGCTTGTCATGAGGGGAAATGGACAGGCCGGGGCTGTAGAAATTTTGTGTTCCGGCGACCTAGAACTCGCAAGTGTCTGTGCATTTGAGAGGAGAGGGGGAGACTAAGGGTCACCCTTTGGCCACGTAAAGTTAGAGCTGGACTTCCGGAGAAGATGAGGTAGTCGTAGCTTCGTATTCTCACTTCTATGAATCCTTCAAGGACCCCAAGGGGTCAGCGTTTCGGCCCTTTCGATCAACCCTGGTCATGGTATTTTCCGTCCCTCTTTTAGGCGCTCGGATGGTGGTAAGTTGTGGGACAATGAGGCAGTAAATGTATGGGGTTGAGGGACAGGGAATTTGTGCACTCCATCGGCACGGGGATTTGTCCCAGACGAAACGATATTTGTGATGGACAACCACCTTACGGCTCAGAGGCCTCTACTGGCGGTCAAATACTTCATGTTCTTGGGTCGATCCAACACTTATTAGTGCCTCCAAGGCCTGTCCAGGTGAAGAGGCCTCTGTTCAGGGTGCTCATCGGACTTAATAGTCAATTGCTTTAATGAAAGTAGCGCAGAGATTATGAACCAATACCCAAGCTGTTTCGGACGGGCATAACTCGTTCACGGAGACACATGCCAGAAACTAGACCATCGCATATACTAGATGTGCCTATTCAAGTTTAGCTTCCCCGCATTTATTATCACCTAGGTAGTTAGTTATCGACGAAGTCAAATTTCCCGGCTAAACAACGTGGGAATTCTTCAAAGTTCCAAGGTTTTGACGGCACTTAGACGTGCACCATGTGAAATCCTTAGGCGCTTGTTATCGCCGCTTCTGAGGCTATCCCCTTAGCTGCACTCTTTTGGCTCTCCACGTTAATTAGACCAATCGGACCAGAAATGGCAAATAATAGTGATGGATAGAATCGGTCCTGGAAAACGGAAAATCTCTGGCCAAAACTATGTATGCATGTATGATCACCCCAGACGCCAGAGGTTAAAAATGATGGCTTTCCCTATTTTGCTTCAGACTGGCAGCAAACCTTGAGGCAACCGTCAAGCCTTGTTATGTCATTTGGATTCTGGAACTGGGGCATCCGTAGGGACAGATTCAAGCACAGAATAGTTAGTGACGCACATATGTTTGTATTCTGCTGTACATGCCTTTTGCGGCTGCTCGAATTCCTTCATGGCAGTTAATGAACCAATATTCGCCAACACCAACCGTAGCGTCGTCAACCACAGCTCAACATAGTCTCGCCTGAGGACTCTCATAAGCCTACACAAGGCGATAGATACGTTCCTGACCACACGCACAGAATGGGGCCGAAAATCTGCCATTAGGATTTATTCGAGGCTCTAGCCCAGCCCAGCCCAGCCTGCCCACACCTGAAGATATGCCTGATAACGTGTTAAATCTTACAACTCGATTCATTAGTTGAAAGAACCGTCCGCTGCCAGTTTCGCTAGATCCCCCACATAAACATGCAGGAACCATGGATGCGGGTTATGGCTGTCGGGCCTGAGATCCCCACCAAACCAGCGGTTTCATGGAGGCTTCCAGATTGTTTTTCGCTACCACTGGCAGGCAATGGGCAGTGGCTTAATCTGGTTGTCTCGGCGACTCCACCTCAAGAAATGGCACAATGTAGTCTGAAGCTTCTGAAAGTTTCTCATAAAAGGTTTTCCGCCATTCTCGTAACTGTTACCTACTGACAACATACTTCCTTACGACTGATTTGTGCATATACAGCTATTGGAATTAGTTAATAGAGTGATTTGAGGGAACACAGTTCAAGTTAGCAGGATGAAGGATGAGATAACTTCCCTGGTGTCATCAACAAACGAAGCGGCGTCAAAATAAATATCTAAAATTGAGCGAAGAAGCTTATTTGTTCCAACTTCTAGAAGACTGGTTGGACCCAATAACTAACCTGTTCGCAGTGGTTACTCCGGTAAGTTCCAAGGCCACGACGCCCAATCACCTTGTATTTGCATCCACATTGAATCCATCTTTCCAAATTTTAATCACCTAGCGAAGTTGCGAAGGAGAGCCAAATCTCAAACTTCCGTCTCTGGAGTCTGGAGGGCTCCCTCAAAAAAAGAAAAAAAAGAAAAAAAAAAGGTAAAACCTTTAGAAGGAGCATTTTGGCGCAGCCCGCTTGCGTCAAACACCCTCCACGATGCATATCTGGATTCCTAGACAGCAACCACTTTGCAATCTGTCTGACAAACTCAAATATCTGCCTTAGCACTTGAATTGTCGATTGGTGTTGTCGATTTTGTCCCTGACTCGGATCGTTATGCAAGACTGTCTTGGCGATTAGAGGAACCCATAACCGACGCCAAACCCCACAGGAAAGGATGCCCGTTGGCAAACCCCTGGGCCTGGACTGGAGGCTTACTCTGCTCAAGCCCCATAGAATCAGCGGGCGCAAGTTGGGACTGCCTAGGGTACTTCAAAATCTGGAGATGGCGATAAACTCTCTTGTAATGTTGAGGATGTACCAGCTTCTTGGTCGCAAAGGATTCTGTGCATGGATATAGCTATCGAGCACACTGCAAAAAGCGGCCCATCCATTGAAGATATTTATGAGAGGGTCTCACACTTAATAGTCCTGCAAGAGAAAAGAAGTCTGTCTCTTCAGTTCAAAAAGTGGCTTTCACGGAATCACGGGTAGTTATCGAAGAACAAACAAGGTGCTTACACTACGCACATCCATTTCAAGCCACAGCCCCATGACGAAGCACGCACAGGAAGAGCAGAAGTGTTGGTTAGACTGTTGCGAAATGCCAGATTGAGTTCTTACGGCGTTTCAACGCAGCACCGACTTGCAAAAATGCTGGCGTGTTGACTCCTGCATAAATTTTTGCATAACTAGTTAGTCAAATAATAGGATCTTCAAAGATTATCCCTCTTCTAAGCAGGACAGCCAAAGCCAAAAGGGTCTTTTACCGAAGCACGAACTAACTACTAATTAAATTAATATTTAACTGCAGTGCCTCGGTGGGGAATCCGAACTCCGTAATGCGGCGGATCCATCCAACTTCAGGATTTTGCCAACCGATATTTAGTACTTGACTAGTAATTTAGTGATGGTAATGGTAATGATACCCTTTGGAATGGTTCGAATTCGCAAAGCCATAATGTTCCAGCGTCGCAATTGAGACAGGAGCACGACAGGGGATTCTTTTCAAAGCCAGAGCAATGAAGGGAAGTACTTTTCAATTCAGCAAATTTTCATGATATGTCGTTATTGCTCTTGCCCTAAACAATAGTTCACGTAAGACAGCAAACTACTCCAGAGATCGATGTTCCAAACTCTGTGATCTGCAAGATGATTCCCAGGGTCTCGGTCGGCCTGTGCATAGCCATTTTAACGTCTAATGAACTCAAAAATGGAAGAATTGAATGGACTTCGATTCCTAAGAGCTGCTGAGATAGGAGTCGAATCGCCAGGAGACTCCCAACAGCCATAGAGGATTTTAGAGTGTACCTTGTACGCTACATAAAACGAGGAGATAGTAGACGGAAACAGGCGCTTCAAAATTCCCACGCCCTCGAACTCCTGGTTTAGTTATTAACCTCAGCGGTCAACAAGGTAATATGTCTGTACATGGACAATCCCATCTTCAAAAATAATGGTCACTTCATGTTATTCCAGGGCGGGGAATGAGCTGGCGGTGCTGTTGCGATGCTTGCAAAGAGTTGCTAAATTCCTGCAACAACCACACAATGTTACTAGCCCCAATCAGCAACGCTCGACAAAAATACCACTTCCTCTCGAACGAACACACCATTTCGACCCAGCCTAACCTTGGGTGCATGGGGTCTTGGTCCTTTGATACATGCATTGCGGTTAACTCGCTGTGATGTTTTTCACATTTTCGATTCCCCTCCTTGGAGTTTCCTCCGCATCTTCCCTTGATCAAAGCGTCCAAACCCCGGGTGCTTCAAAATCGTATGCAAAACCTTGAAATTTGTTGCCCTTCGGAATAATACACATCCAGTAATTCCCACATAATGGCAGAAATCGAGACTTCTGACGTAGAGGCGGAGGAACAACACCGAGAGGATCAAGAAATTACTGTTGACCCTGGGGTAAGGAAGGGAATACCCCTTTCTTTTGGCTCCCGTGTTTTTGGATAAAGCAATTTTGTTGACTCTCTGCAGATTGAGGACACAGATTCTGCCTATGGGGATGAATTGTGGGCGAACCCTTCCCGCCTGCTTTTCTATTAATGTGGAGCGAGAGACATGTTCCTGACCAACCATGATAAGATCTATCTATACTGCGTCTGTAACATCGAGTGTTACTGACTACCAAAAGTTTGTTGCCCCGCAAGGCGTTATTAGCGTTTAACTGTTGAGGCAAAAATGTTGTATTGACAGTAGATAGTGAAAACGGCATGAACCCTGATAAGATTGCTCAACACAGCATAGATACATCGGAGACTAATGCCTCTCTGCAGGTAGAAGATACCATGCGTATAAGGAGGGACGTGAGTTTATCTTCTTTCTTGCCCTAAGGTCTTTTTAAGGAAGAACAACATTGATTCACTTATTTGACACCACGTTAGGCTATCTCCTTCCCAATGATGAACAGGAGAATGATCGCCTTGATATGCATCATGCGCTTATCCGTGCTACGCTGAAGGAGAAGCTATATCTGGCTCCCATAAGAGATGCTCCAGGTCGAGTAATTGATATCTGCACCGGAACTGGTATCTGGGCAATCGAGTTTGGTGTGCTTCCATTCACGTCTTGTGCAGGCAAACTGTGCTAACCGATAAACTCTCTTTTAAGCCGATTTGTTTCCATCTGCTGAAGTACAGTTCTTTCCATGTGATGGGCCATTATTCCAACTTTGTTAAAGTCTCATAATTTTTTTTCAACAGGTCCTCGGAAATGACCTCAGCCCGATTCAACCCAAACTGTTTGTCACAGCATCTTGTCAACAACCCATGTTTCTCTTATATAAATTCCATTCTGACATGTAGAGCAAAAGGGTCCCCCCAAATGTGAAGTTTCTAATCGATGATGTCGAAGATGAATGGGGATACGAGAATGAGCCGTTTGATTTCATTCATGCTCGTTACCTCACTAGGGCCATTAAAAATATGCCGCGACTATTGGAACAATGCTACTCGTATGATTAGATCATTCTCACCACAACCTGCAACACCTATTGCTGACGATTGTTACCACAGCTGCCTTAAACCGGGAGGATGGGTTGAATTCCAAGATTGGGATGCAATGATGCAATCTGCGGACGGTACAGGGAAAGGCAGCTACATTGAGCAGTATATGACCAGAACGCTTGCTGCATTTGAGAAAGCTGGCTACATCATACGACCAGGCATATTTCTAGAGAAATGGTTGAAGGATGCAGGATTTGTTAATGTCAAGGTTACCAAGTTTATTGTCCCCCTTGGAACATGGGCTAAGGATAAGCATTACGTGAGTTTACTTCCTCACCAGTATTGACATGTGGGCTAAAACTCTGTGCCTTTTATTTAGAAACGACTTGGTGCATATAACCTTCTCCAGTTTGAGCAGACCCTGGAAGGGAGCGCGATGGCTGCATTAACACGCATCGAAAACTGGACCAAGGAAGAAGTCAACTTTCTTATCGCAAAGACAAAGAACGATGCAAGAAACCCGAAGATCCATTCTGAATTTCATTTGTATGTGATATACCCTCAAATTTTGTTTGTCCTTAATAATGATTTAATCGTATGATTGTCCTGCATTAATTGAAGCTCTAACCCCCACCTCATTTCTATAGCTACGTTGTGTATGGGCAGAAACCGGAGTAAACATTGGCTTGTTTAAGTTGCATAACTAGAAGGAAGATGAGCTGTGGTGTTTGTCATTTTAGCTCTATATACGCATGCATAGATCGTACTATGCCATGCTTTCATTATTTTCAGGAGAAAGGCGTGAGGAAAAACGTTCTTTTTATCATTCTTTTATGCAACCAACAATCGTTTTTATGCGAATTGTAATTCAAAGCACAGATTGATGCAGATATGAATATTATGCATACAGTCAGAACACTGGTATAATTTTAAAACATGTTTCCCACATGAGCGTGATGAGAGTTATCTATGGAAGTAACCCTTCGAAAAAATACGCAGCATTTATGTGTCGTGTTTGAGATTCTCTATATTTGATCTCCCTGTGGAAGAGCTCCCGCATGATGATGTTGGGATGCGGCATTCTTTAATGGATTTGGTGGCCCAAAAGCTGCAGAAGACCCTTTACGCACCGGGACTTCATTAACCACAACAAATCCGATCCATTTAATCCCATTCATGCATGAGGTCACCCTGGAATTAGAATCTGATGTTCATCGCCTATTAAATTTATGGAACAAGGCAGTAACTAGTTAGTTACCTGGGCCAGCTTATGACTCAGCGCCAAGATTATTAAGCTCGTCAAACATTGAGCTTTGGAGGAAAACATATTTACTCCTATAAACAGTATATTTTTTCGGTTCATTCCCGGCAAGATTTTGCTGCGGACCTACATATCCCAAACGTAATCATGTTCGCAGTCCCTGGATGGTCTATTTCGAATACAGAGTTAAAGCTGCAAACAGAGTATAAAGCGAAACCACAGCAAGAAACCGCTCCTCAAGTACAAGATGGTGCAGACCCAGATTCCCAATCTAAGAAGCGGAAAAGAGCTCAAGGGAAAAACCTCAATGACCAAAAGGTTACCAAGGCGAATGTGGGTGAGATGTGGAGGAGAGTTATTGAAGGAGAGACACCCAGTTCTAGAAAAAAGAATGCTGCGCGAACTAAAAAGGAGATGAAGAAGCGGAGGAAATTGGCGAAATCTGCAGACGGCAGAGCTGTCCAGGAAGTTAGGGATGCGGGGAATAAAACGGGAGAGCTGAAAGAGGATTCTAACGTTACACCTGCGACCAAAACAGCAGCAGAAATACCAGGTAGTACTCCTGCTGCGTCCAGGAGGAACAAGAAACAAAAGGGAAAATCGAATGATAATCAGCAACAAAATGCGACCACTGCGACACCCCCATTGCCAGCAGCAAACTCATTACCCTCCCCCCCCCCTCCCCCTCCGGCATCCACATCCCTCACACGTTTACAGCAATCCATGCGCCAAAAGCTCCTCTCGGCCCGATTCCGCCACCTCAATCAGACCCTGTACACCACGACATCCAACGAAGCTATGGAACTTTTCACCTCCAATCCAGAGCTCTTCGCAGAATACCATGCAGGATTTACCCGGCAGGTGCAAGAATCATGGCCCTCAAACCCCATCGATGGCTACATCAATGCAGTCAAGACGCGCGGCGCCATTGCCCCCCCTAATCAGAGAGGTAGTGGTCGAAAGCCGGACAAAAATGAACTACGAACTGCTGCTCTGGGTCCCTTACCTAGACGACCCCACGGGCTATGCACCATAGCAGACCTGGGCTGTGGTGATGCTAAACTAGCACGGGTTCTCACACCGTCCGCTAAAGCTTTGAATCTGAGGCTCCTCAGTTTTGATTTGCATGTGGCTGATCCACTGATTACGAAGGCAGATATTTCGGCGCTGCCGGTTGCGGATGGTACGGTTGATGTGGCCATTTTTTGCCTTAGTTTGATGGGGACGAATTGGGTGTCGTTTGTTGAGGAGGCGTGGCGGGTGCTTAGGGGAGATGGAAAGGGAGAGTGCTGGGTTAGTGAGGTGAAAAGTCGGTTTGGGAAAGTTGTTAGGAGGACTAAAATCGGACAGAGGGTGGATGGAACCGGGACTGTGGCTGGAAAGAAGGACAAGAAGAAAAAGAAAAGTAAAGGCAACGATAAGGCTGATGAAGATGTTGACGAGGAGGAGATTTTTGCTGAGGATCAGGTTAATAAAGGCCCTAACTCGGAGGATGAGACTGATATATCTGCGTTTGTGGAAGTGTTTAGGACTCGTGGATTTGTGCTTAAGCAGGAATCTGTTGATAAATCAAACAAGATGTTTGTCAAGATGGAGTTTTTGAAGCATGGGCATCCTACAAAGGGCAAGTGGGCTGTTGACCCGAACGATGCCAAGTCTGGGAAGAAGAAATTCATTGAACTTGACGATGGCAAGGGACTGACTCCTGAAGAGGAGAGTAAGGTGCTGAAACCGTGTGTATATAAGATCAGATAGATGTCCAATTATAGTAAGCCATCAAAGTGTATGTAATTGCTCTCGGTAGTATCACCAGTCCACACAACTGCACTGGAAATTAGGGAGATATTTATAATTTTAATCTCTTGGATGTCTGGTTTAATCGCTAAATATCACTGAGCTCCTGACTGCTAATTTCCTCCCAAAGTCGAAACAACCCGTCCCATCTCCTCCTCCCCGTAAATGCGGAATCCCAAATCCTTGGTCACGCTGGCCAGCTGCACATTCTTAGCATCTAGCTTCTCCTCCATCACCTGTTTCAAGGTCTTCAGTACAAGGGTCTCGGCTTCCGCAAGGGAAAGGGATCTGTGATATTCGGTTTGGAGCTCCGCCTGCGCGCCTTCGCTCCCAGAGCCAATAGCTTTGGCATCGTATCGGTAAAAAGTGCCCGATGGCTCCGCATGGTATCTACAGGATGGTCATTAGTGTCTGTATATCTGCAAATAGGTCCTTCTAATATTCCCCCATTACCCCCCCCCCCCCCCTAAAAACACAAAATCCGCATCCCAGAATAGAAGATATTCCCATACAATTGTGGCCCATCCTCATCATAACCCGCAATGAGCAACGCGACACCAAATGGCCTGCTCATTACACTCTCCTCACCATCAGCGCCCTCGCCGAATCTCAGCGCCAAGTCGCATATAGCCTGCGTACAGCTCTCAACTCTGAGAGGCTCTGAATAGTTAAATGCGTGATTTTGGCTCTCGACACGTGCATGTTCGACCATCGACCGGGCATCAGCCTGCAAACCAGACATTGCACAACCGATATGTCGGTCTATTTCGACGATCTTCTCTACAGATGATGTTTCGAGGAGAGTGGAGGTTACCCGCTTTTCGACACCCAATACGACCCCTTCTGAAGTTGCGACCTGAATAGTCCCAATGGGGTATGTCAGAGATAACATGCAGGCAATTTATATAAAGACGGGATTCCATATGGTTCGCAAAACGTACTCCGATTGCTGTTGACCCTAATTTTATCGCTTCTAGAGAGTATTCGACTTGGAAGAGACGACCTTCCGGCGAGAAGGTACTGTTAGGCGATAGATGAGTAAAGATTGACCTCCCAAGAGTGATTTCAACGGCATCGCTAGGTAGGCTCACTTGATACCACGGTCTTGGGGTACCTGTTAGTCAATATCGCAACAAATACATGGGTTTCTGTAGGTCCTAACTTACCATATTCTGACCGCGCGATAAACATGTTGGAGGAGCGGAATGTGAACGAAGGGGAAATTAGAAAAGTTAATGAATCGACGAGAGGAATGGAATACAGGATACTGTATATCTGCAAAGAGGGTGTCTATATCCTAACGTTGCAGAGTGTTAACGTTGTCCAACAGTTGTCTTGTCTTGTAGGTGAGTTGAACCTAAAGCAGCTCCCGTGTTGGGTTTGGCTTACCTAAAAGCTCACTCAGGTTCACGCAAATTGGAGGTGCCTGGAGATCCAACGCTAACCCCAAAAGGGAGATAGCACAACTTCCCTGGTCAATAGCTATTCGAACCCCTCGACAACTCTGTATACACTACAACAAATAAGGAACGGTTGCAGAAGAGCACGTTTCATTTCCTTCTGCTTCCCCAAGCTGAATTGGAAGGGTGTCATGACGGGGAATTATGACTTCTTCTTCTCCTTCGACTGTGAAGCCAACTCCATCTCTTCATGAACGATCGTCCACACATACAACCAGTTCTCGATCACGCGTTACTTCTTCAGGTCGCGTTAATGGGAAACACACGCAGTATGGTCAGTCCGTGCCGGACGGCAAAATGCCAACTTCACGAGAAGGAACCCCAGGAATGAGTCGTTCAAGCAGAGAATATAACTCAAGTGAAGTGCGCACCGAGAAGACGCAGGTCACAACCAGAGAAAGTGTCCAGGTCAGGTCGAAGAAACCCACGACCAGTTCAACAGCAACACCAAAAGGAGATTGGGAAAGGGAGAAATCAAGAGTGACAAAATCCAGTCAACACGAGGTTTCTATTCCGGCTGCTAGGTCGAGAAAAGAGAAGGAAATTGAAAAGGAAATATCAGATGGTCAGTCATTATTTGATTTTATCCAACAATGAAGGTGGATGCTCCGTACACACCTTCGGGGTTGAGGTTGAGGTTGAGACTGATATGGTTCCTTTCCAATACAGTGCCCTGGGAACCGCAAGCAACTTTAACTCCTCACTCAACCGCCCCCCTCGCTAGCCGTGTGTCTGTACCCCCCCTCTCGTCACTGGCCCCGCAATCACTGCGCCCACCTCCTCTCCGAGAACTAAGCATGGAGGCTCAGGAAGCCGCAATACTGGAGGATCTCCTCTTTTGTTTTATGGGCTATGAAGGCCAATATATCCACTTTGTCAACTCATATAACCCGTTTGAGGAAACAGATCGCTTAATCGGACCATCTTTTCAGATCGAACCAGGCCTCGAGCCGAGCTTGAAGGACCTTACTCTTTCCATGCTGAAGATGGCCACCCACTACAGCGCTATGGAGGCTTTTGTAGAAGTTCAGAGCAGAGCGGAATTTGGCGCTGTCAACCACGCTCTTTGCGCGGCAATACGCAAACTACTAAAGGACTATCTTATTCTGATCGCGCAGTTAGAAAACCAAATGCTCAATAATCGTAATTTTACATTGCATGTCCTCCACCTCCATATCATGCCAACCAGTCAAAGTATGGTACAGCTATACGCGCTCGGGCAAGAGTTGTTGAAGAAAAACTCGCTTCTGGTTCAAGAAACGGATGAATCAGTTGATGATTTTGATGATGTGGAAAATATCCTAGAACAACTGAGAGAAGGGGGAGAATTAGCTCCCGGCAGCATGTCCAAAAAGTTCTGCAAGGGTGGTAATGTCTTGAGAGTACTAACCCAGCGACTTGCGACTTTCTCGGGTGACCCGACTACCGGGACATTACTTCAGACCCTGTTGCGCGAAGCGAGCCGGCCGTATATGACCATGCTGAACGAGTGGCTACACCAAGGGGCTATCAACGACCCCCACGCGGAGTTCCTTATCAAAGAACAGAAAGGCATCAAACGTGACAAACTCGAGGAGGATTACACTGATGAATACTGGGAGAAACGGTATACCATACGTGACAGCGAAGTTCCTCCACAGCTGGACACCGTTGGAGATAAGGTTCTCCTGGCTGGGAAGTATCTTAATGTTGTTCGTGAGTGCGGAGGAGTTGATATCAGTAAAGAAATTCGAGATGTTCCCACGACCTTTGACGATCCACGATTTCTTGATAATGTAAATTCCGCGTATGCATACGCAAATGCATCCCTGTTAAACCTTCTTTTAACGAAAAATTCCTTGACGACTCGATTCCGCTCGTTGAAACATTACTTCTTCCTGGACCGTTCGGATTTCTTTTCTTACTTCTTGGAACTTGGGGCATCGGAACTCCGAAAACCGGCAAAGAATGTCAATGAAGGCAAATTGCAGTCTCTTCTTGACCTCGTCCTTCGTCAACCTGGAAGTATCGCTGCACAGGATCCGTTCAAGGAAGATGTGAAGGTTCGCATGAATTACATAGGATTAACTAAGTGGCTCATGCGCGTGGTAAGCGTGTCTGGCATTGATCAAGATAATCCTGATGGCGGACTCGAAAGATATCAAACTCCCGCCCCACAAGTTACAGAGGAGGAGAAGGACATAATTGGTTTTGATGCCCTGGAACTTGACTACATGGTTCCATTCCCACTATCGCTCGTTATCAGCCGCAAAACCGTCCTCCGCTATCAACTTATCTTCAGGTACATCCTGTCCCTACGACATCTGGAAACGATGCTAGGAACCTCATGGCAAGATCACATGAAAGTACAAAGTTGGCGCCATAGATCATCTGACCGAAAACTCGAGTTATGGAAAAGAAGGGCCTGGACATTGCGGGCTAGAATGCTTATATTCGTGCAACAACTTCTTTACTTTTGTACGGCTGAAGTGATTGAACCCAATTGGCAGAATCTTATGGACCGGGTGAACGGCGATGATGCTGATGGGACTGAGGTTATGGTTAATGGGACTAAACAAGTCAATCGGACGGTCGATGAATTGATGCAGGATCATGTCGATTTCCTTGACACATGTCTAAAGGAGTGCATGTTAACCCAGGGAAAACTTCTCAAGGTACGCGCCCTCTTTCCTGTCTATGTTCGATTCTTAACATTTTTCAATTGACTGAACTTGTTTTTTTCCCTTCGTTTCACAGATTCATTCCAAACTCATGATCTGCTGCACCATGTTTTCCTCCTGGACGACGTCATCACTTTCGCGTGGTCTTATCTCCGCTGACCCTGATTTGTCGGGTCCTAACGCAAAACCAAACGTTCCTGGTTCAGATGTCAATAAAGCATATGACCCCTCGCGCCTAGGCAAGCTTGAAGATACCTTAAAGAGATATGAAGACCATTTCAATCGACACTTGAGGATATTGATGGATAGGTATGCTTATTCTTTTTGCTAGAACTATCCATCGACCTTGTGAACCGTTGCTAATTTATGTGTATTAGTTTAAATTACTTCGCCGCCACTGAAAGCGTCGTCTTGCTCAAACTCGCCCATTCGCTAAGCACGATCTGCAAGGAGGACTGACTGACTTTCAAAGTGCGCAAAAACACGATCGAAAAATGTCCGACTATATGCTACATTAAGTTTCACTCCATGTGTTAGTTTGGTGGACTCAGCCTTTAACCAAGGTACACTATGAATGAATAGTATCCACCATTTTCAAAAGAAAGTAATGAATGGGCTCACACTGCTTTTCACTTTTGTTACTCCGATGCTCTGGGCACGATCTCCCGATGTACCAACATCGGAGTTGTTGTTAGTCCGGGTACCTAAAGTACCTATACTACCACTGGATCCATCCCTTTTACCAAACGCCACTGAAGGCGTATCTATCAGGCTTATTATTTTGTTGGCCTCCATGATCGCCATATTGGAAATGCAAGACAGAGTGAACATCAAGGCTGCGTAACCCATGCCGACCAACAACTGCTGTTATTTGGTACTATCTCCCTCCAAACCTGTCCAATTAGACAATTTCCCTTGTATTGGCCTTGTCGAATATTGGTCACGTGATGTCTGAAACACAGCGTTCAGGAGTCGAGGTTGGTTTGGAGGAGTTTTCTTTCAGACCAACCAGTTTGGTTGGGAGTCGAAGGGGCGGGGGCGAAGTGCACCGGCAAAGCGCTAGGGACAAGGAGAGGGCTGTATTGCCCACCTTGAAGCTTTAGATACCCGCGTCTACATAAAGCTGATGAAATGGGAAATCCGCTCCTGTGTCAACGCTTTCAACGGAACATCTACAAGAACTGTACATACCATTCAGCGAGTGAAGGTGCATTTGGCCGTGTAGCACAAACCCCTGTTGTTGGTCTTCAATCAAAGAGATGTATAAAAATCACTATCTTTGGTCTCGCCGTAATGGACTGATATATGTATGTACACAATATTTCCTTGCCTTTATATCAACTATAGGCAAGGAGAGAAAGTAAATTCATATCCATGTTCAATCGTTGCTGTTTCAATGCTCTGACACCAATACACTAGCCATTCCCATACCCTAAAAGTGTAGAACGTCGGGTCAGCCTCGTTCCTTTGGCGTTGAGCTATTTTTCCTTGTCCTAATCTTGGAGGTGGACTAGTTCACCCAAAAAGCAGGGCTGGGTGGATCAAGACTTACAGTTCCAACACACATAGACGTTACAGCTACGCGATTGTTCTGCCTCCGAAGCTCAGATAACGCAGTGACTACCTGGCGGGCACCAGTGCATCCAAGAGGATGACCGAGGGCACTGGAATTGAAATGTTAGCCTGTCTCGTTTACAAGAGGTAGGACAAGAGTGATGTTATACGTACATTGCACCACCGCGTGGATTAACTTTGGCGACGTCCAGACCAAGCTTATTAACACAGTAGACTCCCTATTGAATTGTCACGGCAGAATTAGAAATCTTCAAAAATGAGATAATCCTAATAAAATTTTACATACCATCGAAGCAAACGCTTCATTGATCTCGAAAATATCCACATCCTCCTTCTGCAGCCCAAGCTTGCCCATCAGCTTAGGGATCGCAAGCGTGGGACCAATTCCCATAATTCGTGGCTCCAGACCAGCAACGGTCGCGCCGCAAAATTTGGCAAGGATGGGTTGACCCAGTTCCTGCGCACGGGACCGCTTCATCAAGAGCACCGCAGCGGCACCGTCCGTAATCTGAGACGCATTTCCACCGGTCGTGCGGCCGGGCTGCCATTGTGGGAAGGCAGGGCGGATCTTACTCAGGCCTTCGGCGGTGGTTCCGTATCGCACACCATCGTCTCTGTCCGCAACAACTTCTTGAATTGCACCGGTCTTGGGATCCTTCACTTTAACCTTAATGGGTATGATCTCATCAGCTACCCATCCGTTTTTCTGGGCCACTTCGGCACGCTGGTAAGATCGGGCAGCAAATTCGTCCTGCTGCTCTCTTGTGATGTTGAATTGGCCTGCAACGTTCTCGGACGTCTGTCCCATGGGCATCTGGTTTTGGGATGCAATGGGGTGGTTGAGAACTGCTTCAGAGAACGCAATTGGGCCCTTATCTGGTGTTGTACTCATGCTCTCTGCGCCAACTCCGATGCCAATATCAATGGAACCGGCTTGGATTTGGTTTGCGATGTTCTGAATAGCGAGCAGCCCGGACGAACAGAAGCGGTTGGCGACTGACGCAGAGGCTGTTACAGGGTAGCCAGCTGCTAAGACAGCGGAGCGGGCAGAGTATGCGGAGGAGGGAGCCAGAACATTCCCAACACAGATATCCTCGACAAGGGACGGGTCGAGGTTGGATTTCTCGCGAACGGCCTGATAAAAGACATCATGAGCGGTTTGGTTTTGGGTTTTTTCCTTCTCCTTCTTAACAGAGGCGGTTCAATATAGCTTACAGTTAACAAGGCAATCAAAAGATCGTCAATGGCTGTATCCTTGAGAGCTCCCTTGCGAGCTTTGGTCAACGCAGTTCGGACAGCAAGTGTGATAACCTGTATATTTCGTGTTCTGTATCAGCGTTTGACTTTGGAAATGGGAATGGATAGCCCTGAAGTCCGTCTTACAATGTCATCTGGATTCTTGGATAGAAGCGCCTGTCTCGCTGGAGAATCACCAGCCTTGAGATGGCCCTGGATCGAAGATAATCTTTGTGCGGCAGCCATTGTGAAGGATATTATTAGTTCAATTTGCAGTTCAAGAGCTCTGAATCAAACCAAACAACGAGATATTGACGTATACACGAGAAGTAGAAAAGACTTCGCAAGGCAAGGAGATCACGGCTTATTATCTTTTGTCAATTTTGTTGTCTCTCACCCCTACCATTTCGACCAAGAGCCCCGGATGCAAAGCGCCGTTTGCCCCTAGATCGTTTTTGTTCCTCGGCATCTCTGAAAAATTTAGCCCAAGAACCAAAACCCCAACAGTCGGTTCATAGTTAACTGAAGCTTATCGTTTGAGTTCGCAAAATAATAATAAAAATAATAATAAAATAAAATTAAAATTAAATATAAAAATAAAAGAGTGGGGACCCTAGGCCCGGATGCTGAAACTACCACACATACAATTAATTCTGTTAGAGAAATCCCCCTTCTTTGCACAGCTTATTTTGTCTTTTTTGGGGTCTTGGAACCATCTTTCGCAGTTAATCCAACCTCAGTCATTCAGCGATGATGCTCTTCCATTTGAATAAGATATTTTGCCGGCTCTTGGATATTTCATTCAGGTGAGCTTTGTTAACGATACATTGCACCAGCAGGCTGGAGATCACTCGTGAGCTTCCTAAACTTAGATTTGTTATCTATTTTGAAGCCCGTTCTCAGCGGCGGGTAAAAATGAGTGGATGATTGTGCAAACCGTTAATATCTCCCGTCCCCTTGCCCTCTTTCAATGCCCTCACCGTGAGCGCTGACTATCGAAATGCAAATTGTCTTGTCTCAACGACATATCAGGTAGCTGGGGTGTTGCCCGCTGGACGGACGCAACTGAGAATTGCTTATGTTAAGGACAGGCTTTAGTGTATGAGATATTCGAACAACGAAGGGCTTGAGATGAGCATTATGTGGTTTGGCTTGAGGTTATAACGAGGTTCTACTTTGAGCTGAGAAAGTTGCTGTGGTCTCTCAAGCCTCTCCATAATTCTGAGTGTTCAATTTTCATGCATTTTGAAGCTCTCAAAGTCCGCTTCTTCTTTCCTCATGTACTAGGTTTCATCATTCTTATTCTTTTGAATTGTCTGATATGCGCAGCGGCGTTTCTTTCAATGTGCGCATCATCTCTGAAGTGAAGAAAAAGGAGTCTCATAGCACAACAGCATTTTGCGGAGGTCGATTAATTCGCAAGCCTTCTGCATGACATGGCATCAAAGATAAAACTGTGGTGTCTATCTACATTATTAAATCCCGGGAAATTTACTCATTTTTACTCTCACAACACTAGGGCGGGTGGTAGGTTTTACTATTCTTTGGAATGAGCATTTCATACCCCTTGATATATCTACTCCTAGATACATGTGACGTATATTGGACACCTGCGCTGTGTCATATAGCATCCGAGACGTTTATATATGCACTGGTAGCTATTCAGTTCATATCTACCGATCTTGCTCGTCCGACTCGGTTGACCAGGAGTTAAGACTGATGAGCTTGTACGGTCAAAGAATTGTATAAGGGCTTAGGTATCAATTTAATACCAGGTGTTTTAATTGATTCTGTTTGACAAAGACAAAACTAATGAAAGAAATATTGGTTAAGGATATGCATCTATGGAAGGTTACGTGAGAATGACTGTTATATTTTACAAAAGCGCACAAGGGATATGATGTCAGAACCACAATGTTTCAACTATTGCGCCAGACAAAATGAATAAAAGAAGGAAGGAAGGTCATGAGAGATTATCATTCCTCCGCTTCAGCCGCAGGAGCATCCCGCACTGGCTTCTTTGACTTCTTATGTTTCTTTTCAGCCGACTTCTCGCCCTCTCCCTCCTTTCCCTCGCCATCATGCCGTTTCCGTTTCTTTTTCTTCTTCTCAGCCACATCAGTCTCCTTGGGTGGCTCAAAGTCTTTTTGCAACTCCCTTGTTTTATTTTCTCTCTTTTCCCTTTGCTTCTCCATCATCTCCTCTTTCTTAGCCCGTTCCTTCGCCTGCTTACTGAGGAAATATTCACCGCTCTCGATCTGTAGATCAACCTTGCTCTTCTCCGGAGCTGGTGGGAATGGTGTATACACCTTCTTGCTCTTGTCAGTCACCTTGAACGGTTTCCTTCGCTTGCTTAGCGTGCGCTTCTTGAAGTGCGGTAAGAATCGATCCCAACTTTCATTTGCAAGTTTGGGATCTTTCGCGAGTTCCTTCTTGATCATCATTTCTTTAATATGATAGATTGGGTGAATGTTGGCCATGCAGTCCTCCACCACCCTTCTAATTTCCTTTAGTCCCTTGTATGGGCCCATGGCGGACACAGTATTCCCCTGCACGAGGATGTAAGTATTTGTAAGAAGTTCGAGGGCTTTTAGGGTGGTGCCTGACGGTCCGAGGATGCGCTGGCGTCGCTTTACAAATCGCTCTTTGTTTCTCACTAGGTTTCGGATTTTAATGATATCGCAAGCTACACCATCTTCGAGAATTTTTAAGGCCTAGAACGTTTTTGAAGAACAGAGGCTTGTCAGCGCTCTAATGTATCGAATATAAAGCGATGGTTTCATAAATAAGGGGCGTAAATACTTGTGGTGCTGGCACGCTTCGCGCAAGCAGCTTAATCAAATCCCGCGCATTTAGGATCGCAGCCGGATCAAAGGTTTTTCGAGTGGTCTTCACAGTCATGCTTCCTTCAACCAAGTCAAGCGTGCAGGCTATGCCATGCTTTTCCAGTGCTCTAGTGACCATGAGCCATGTTTCCTTTAAATATGCTTCTCTGTATTTGGGAAATAAGCTGACGAAAGATGATTCCTCCGTGAATGTGCCGCCCGCATTGTGTTCTGGTTTGAATTCCTCGATCTATAGGGCCGACACAGCTGATTAGCGAACGAGAACAGCGATAAGTCAACTCATAAGAGGGATGGATTACTAACCTTCCACTTATCAATATCATCTGTATCCCAGGGTTTATCCTTCTTGTATGTGGAGGGCATCTTGGGATATATCCTGCAGTATACAATTGCTGGAGCAGTTGGATGTTATCCGTCAAATTAAGATAACAACATTTCGGCGGCTTCACGGTTTGGATGGGTTTTTGTTAGGCACTCTAAGTAACAGCATGTAGAGCCGAGGCCATACTCAACTTGGGAAACATTAGCCGATATCCTTGGTGTAATTAGCTGTTCTAGGCGCTTATGAAGCGCCCAAGCGCCGCTAAATTTCGTCCTCTAAACCAGGAGCGTCATGAATACACACGGTGAGCTAACAGGGTAATATCCAGAGCTCCTTCAGTAAAAAATTCTAGGGTATATGGGGTGATCTGATATCAGATAGGTCATTAATTGAACCTCGGTAATTTCATTCTCATAGCTCTGACAGCTACACTTTTGTTTTAGGTCTAAGCTTGGTCCTGGATAGCTGAGACAGCCAACAACTAGAATCCATTGACAACTCTCAAATACGTCCGAGTGGAACTTGGCGTAGGGAGACGCTTATTGGAAGCGTTCCGTCGGGTCCCTTGTCAGGAATGGGGACACTATCTGGCAAACGAAGAGCTACGATATTCCTCCTCCGTACTTCCAACAAAGAGCGGCTCGCCGGTTTGTTGTTGGTGTATTATTCAATTGCACAAGGTATCACCTGAGGATCGTGTTAAGAAATTCAAAAACAGCGCCACCTGAGGGGATCAAGGACCACCAAACCGAAGCTAGCTCTAACTTAGGTTTGCACCCATCTGTTGATGATCAACCTCAACGGTCGACCTGATTGGAATGATACTCATGTAAGGTTTCGTGTTGTTGTTTCGGATGGAAAATCATGCAATGACCGGGTAATTGTTGAAGATACAAGTCAAAGGTTTCATTCAATACGCGTATCAGCCTCCCAGGAAATCAAGGGATGAGAACTGTTGGTAAATAGTATACAATACGTTTTACGAGCACATGAAATTTTTTTAGCCAACCAGATGTTGCGGGAATAGCGGAATAAACCTTGATATCAACACGTTTCTTGGGGTATACAATCGGCTGCCAAACAAAACGCGAGAAGCAATTTCATTGGCTTGATCGAGGTGCAGCTTCGGGCAACATTCTTGGGCCTAGATACGTTTGTCTAGCAGTTAAGTAAATATGGTTTCCAGGTGGATGGACCTTTACGGAGCACAGCGCGACATTTGATTGCTTCCCTATGATGGAGACATGCAAGTTATTTCCGCCACCGAAGGCAGCTCAGTGGCTGCCGGTGGATGCCTGTGTGCCCTCGAGCCCTCGAAACTCACCATAAGTTACCCAGCTGAATTTCGTATGGAGAGACAGCAGGTATGTATGTATGTATGTATGTATGAGGCCTTCCTCAGGTTGCGGTCAGTCACACGACCAAAAGGGCACGCAACTGCCACGGCCCCTGAAACCCTCCATCACATCTTCTTCCTCTCTTTCCCACCCCCAACCTCACCTTTATCAGTTCTCTCACTGACGCCAGTCCTTGGAGATTGGTGCTGATTAACCCTTATTCCAGGGATGGTCAACTATGTTGGCATCTAGAGTCTCTTGTTGAACTCTCACACACCTTGCGAGCTCTCTACGAACCCCCCCCCTCCTGTCACCATATATATGACTGCTTAAAACCAGTGCGACATGGTCCGATGCCACCAGAAGCCCTCAAATCCCTTCCGACCCTATCAGTTAATGGTGGTAAACTGGGATGATGGGATTTGTGTATTGGTGGATCAGCTTCAACATCCGTTTTGGATTCGACTTGGTCTATCTTCATTACAGAAATACCAGATGGATATTCCCCGTCGCGAGTCTTGTTGGTGAATTTTCCGTTGCGGGAAAGGTAGCATCAATGAGTCTCTTTTTCACCACCCAAAGAGAGTGTGTCAAATGCTGGATAAAGAGGTCAGCAATTTCTTTGTTTGCTCATTATATGAGCTAAAGTTGGGCAGTTGAGTGGATGGTGGATCGCTCAGCTCCTCGGTCTGAGGTCCAAACTCGGTCCAGAACGCAATCTTATTCGAAAGACATCACATTCCAAGACAACACTACCCGTTTTAGGATTTTCTGGAAAGGAAATAATTCAGTTGTATGAAAATATGGCTTTATTAGCTCAGATAATTTATATGATATCATAACAAGCCTCCGCTAGAGTATGTTTATCCGCTTCTCTTTCTCACTCGAGCAACGCTAAATCTTCGTGGAAATTACCAAGCTGACAGAATCGAAGGTTACATACTTGCAGGTAACGGATGGATCTGGATGCAATTCTGGCGGTATGGCTTGTGTAACCGTGACATCCGTTCCAGAAAACAGTCAAATGGCCATATCAAACAAATGACAGGCTTCTTGAACGTTGCCACGACTATGCCCGTGCATTCCAAGTTGATATAAAACAAAACATGCAAGAAAGTTGGGCACCAAACCTGCTGGTCACGGCTTTCGACCGATGCAAATATATCTACTTCATTGTGAGACGAATGGGAAACAGGAACCTCAAATAAAATATCAAATTCTTACAATGGAAAGTATGCTTTAAAGCTCAGGTCATCCACCTCCCTCCGAGCCTGTGCAACGAGAACTTCGAATTCCTCCCGGGTCATATGTAATCGCTCCATCAGTGGATACAACGCCAACGAGCCAAGAAGCTTATGGACATTGGTCCTATTCATAGCTCCAACCTCCCTCATTCGCGCATCTGGGAGAATGTGAGCGGACACCACTATACTACACTTTAGAGGGACATACCATTTGACCAGGGAGATAATGGAATATTTAACAATTTCGTTTCAACGTTGACAAAACCGGCTGATGACAAAAATTGCCCCAGCCTCATTCCAACTCGAGGGTCCTTGACGTCTTGGATTGCTCGAGCATATCTCAAACTCCACTGTCTCAGGGCATGAGCATCAGTGAGAGTCCCGTTATCGGATTGAACATTGAGATACAGTTCAGCCATTTGTACCCAACCGCCGGGTTTTAACGTCCTAATGATAAGAAGGTTGAACCGATCAGCTGGTGATCGATCATAAACGCCGCTGGTTCTTTTCGCCATTGCTTAATATCATTTGCGAACGAGCAACTATTTCAGGCACTCACATTTTTATATCTTGAATGTATCTTGGCCATCGCTGGCTATTCAATCCAGATGCGATAAGTCTGGAGTGAACTAAATCGAAGTGGTTTGGCGGAAATGTGAAGGTTCGGTTTAAATCATCAACCTGGTTATGAGCTGGACGTTAGCGGAAAACGAGAGCCATTGGACGGATATCATAGGATGTAAAGCGTGTAGGGAGTACACCTGATAATGGCTAACGGTTTGAGATTCAAAACTTGCAGTTATCATCGGTATATGACTCGAATATGGTCGCAAAGGGAATATTCCTGGTGAACAGAATCCACAGAATCCCAAAGGCAAATGTGCAAAAACAAAAAGAGTGATGATGCTTACCTGCAACCAGAGATTTTCAGGGGTGTCATCAGGTTTCATGTGTGGCGATATATCTACTCCTATAACCTTGGAGTGGTATTAACATGGGCCATTTGAAGATACCAGTGCCGACCAGTGCCGCTCACTTCACAAAACGGATATTGTTCAGCAACTTCGACCGCCCAAGCTCCGTTCCCATAGCCACAATCGAGGACTCGTCGAAGTCTGAGCACTGGTGGAAAGATCAATCGATTATCAAAAATTTTGCTGAGAACTCGATGCTGTACCTCCAGCCTCTCTATTTCATCCTGCATAGTGTTAGCTGATGGGACACGACATAAAATGGGACTTACGGTACGAGCCATACATCGTCAACAGGCCCAAAATAAATCCCATTTTCAACGGCATACTTTTGAAACTCCCTCCCTTCATATATGACCAGATCAAGGAAGACTTCATCCAATGCTATGGTGCCAGACTCCGGGTTCCTGGGACACAACGGTGATATCAGTTATGCGTTTCTCGTAAGTAAAAGCGAATGGCAACTGGACTTGGCCTGGGTACATGATCTCAGCTATTCTGGACGTATATTTTCGAATATTTCTTGTGTTTTTCCTGGGATAGGAGGATGATGAAAACTGTCTTCAGAGAGGGATATCAGCAAATATGCCACCGATTTGTGTTCGAGTGCATCCAAATCCGATAGAGTACAGTTAACCCTTTCGCTTCCCTCGCACGTTTATATCTTTCGCCAATGTTAAATAAAGGACTTGAATGACGTTTGTCTGTTCAGGTTGGCGTCGTACTCTATTTAGAGCCCCTGAGCATCATGCCTACGATTCTATGTGCTGAGATTATCGATTTAGGCTACCACCCAGCGGACCTGCTAGCATTCGTTTGCCGATGGTATACCCTGGTCATGCCTCACTTGGGGAAAAAAATAAATATTTAAAAAATGCGAGAGCCACCGTTGGGTATCGGCTATGTCTTAATCGCTACCAGCCTCAGGATCTACTTCCCACGTGCGATACTCCTCAGCTCCATATAACTTCAGTGCGATGCCATCATTGCTTCGACTTTCGCTTTGCTATTAGTCAAATTTTTGGTGCTGGGGCTCCATAAACCTAGGGTGGCTGGCCCGTACCTCCCTGGACATGGGGCAACGTCTGATATGCAAAACGAAAATAATCATGGGTGAACCTAAGTGCGCACCAGATGGGAATAATGACTTATTTAGGCTGAGCATGGGCAAACTAGTCGGTTATTTATGTAATCACCGGTACAAGCTCTCCTCGACGATTTCCTGATATACCAATTATCACGACTGCGCATGATTGGTGAATAGAAAAGTTGCACGGTCGACAAGATGACAGTAAGATACATCCATGAATATTATTTTTTTTGAACTGCCCGTGGCCCCTTGGAGTTGTCTCTCTGTTTTTGAGTAATGCGAATCAGAAATCCGACTGAGTTCTCAGACCCACTTCAAAATCCGGATAATTTTTATTATTCGTCGTCTGTCTGAAGCGATCCCATCGATGAAAATCTCCTGGAAGTGGGATTGGGATGTGGAAGTAAAACTAATGGTCTTTTAACATCGTTTCACTCTACATCGTCAGGTTGACAAAAAGTCATGAAACCTCTATATTTGGCTGCATTATGGGCCGAATTGTTCTAGGCGTCTTCATCTTCTTCCCAGTGACATGGACTTGGATTTCCGTTCCGTGTGTCCAACTAACAGAAACGAAGAACGCTGCTTGCCGTGTAACTAAAGCCAGCCCGAGTAAATGAATGTGCGTACGCATACGGAGTACACAACCCTAATATACGATAAACGCCAATACCACCCATGGCAAGCTGCAGTTGGAGGGCAGAACAAGGGATTTCTGCGAGACTGACGACAGGCATATTTTCATTAGTCCTGATGTGAGGAGATCTTGGCACGGGAGTCGACAATGAATTTCTTAACGCTTGTGTGTAGATTCAAAGTGGGGTCCCAATTGGGTCCCACCGACCACACAAGTCCTAGGAAGGTGAATACTTTTGTGTCCAGGCCGGCCAGATTAATAATAATGATAGCATATCTGTTTTCCCTATGCTATGGAGATATTATCCGAACCTTGAACTCTATTACCTTGCACCAAGTTTATACCTCTGTTACCTGCTTGTGAGTCGTATCCTTTTCTCGCAGTTGCGAGGCAAAAGGTAGACCGCACACTACGAGAAATGGACAAAACAGATACCAGTGGAGCGTCGTTGGATTAGCGGTGTGGAAATGCCCGTCCCCGAGTAGCATACAAGAAAGGAACGATCTATTCACCAACCTGCTGCATGAAATAGTACCCGACTTCGTCTTAAACCTCCGTCCAGTTTGTCGGGTCCATCCCAACCAAAATCCCACTTGTCCTCCAATGGTACGGCACTTCTCGCCTTGTCAGGTATGTAATATTTCGATTCATCGAATCATCAGAATCCTGGCCCATGGTCCAAAATTGACGTGGCATGCACTGTCTACTTCCTCTTTACACTACTCCAATGCAAATCGAAAGTCTCCACTACAAAGACAGAGAAACGCTATGTAACTTACCATGATCCCAGGGCATTGGGAAAAAGAAAATTTGACTTTTTGAGACAGACATCAACCTCCTTGTTGGGTGACGTCATTCGAATTTCAGGAGTCACCACTATCATCATCAGAACGCCTATCCTAAAGATGCGAATGAGTGGGGTTCATTTCTCTGCGACAATGAATAGAGATTATTAAATACAATTGATTTAAACCCAACATTTCGTGCTAGTTAAAATCAGCCTATTTTTCTAGGACAACCTTCTTTTGTTTCTATGTGGCGTTTGCATTGTTCTCGGCCATGTGCAAGGTATGATTCCAAACCATTATACTCTTAAAATGGTTTCCGACGGCCTCAGAAAAGTTCTGCAATTATTGGTTCAAGATTTGGACGCCCATACGTTATCCTCCCCACGCTATTTTCCCTATTAACAGAATATTTACCACTAATTTTAGTCTCGAAGCTTTGCAGTGACTTAAGTCTTTCTTATTGTGCAGTTCATAATGCCTTTGTGTTTGGCATTACTCCCGTTCTAACAGCACAGCGGGACTCCAATGGTGTCATTATATGCTCTGCCAGTGTTGAGCAAAATTATTTACTTGCACATACCATACACGTTAATTTGTTATCGCATTATTCAGAGTACCAAATTTAAGGACAGGTCTATCGCAGTCGCATTTCTGGATTATAATGATCTGTTGCTCTGCCTCAAAATGAAAGAACAGGATATGCACGATCAATTGAGCCTACGACACGCGTGCAGCTGCAGAAAAGACCTCCACAACGATCCATGTGGTTACTGATGTCGTGATGTCAAGAACACTCGTTCAGTCATTGTTAACGAAAATGAAGAATCTGCTCGGTCTGCTTGGCCTGCATGAGTGGTGCCTTACCGCCTGGCTGTTGAAATGATACCAGTGAAAGCTGAAATGAAGGTGTCACCCCAACCTGACGGGTACGCAGATTTCTCTAACGGGAATGTTTCCTGGATGACATAAATAAAGAAAGTAAAATTTGCTCCTGGGTTTCAACGGTAAAAGGACATCAGAAGACCTGAGTAACCTTGCGATTCTTGATACCCAACGTCTCCAATCCTTACCCCCTATGGTTAGAGAAACATTGATTGTTTCACCGACCTCGGGGTAGTTTTTTGCATGGACGTTGCTCCAGCCCTTTAGCAGAAATCCCCAGTGGCTCACTGATCCACTCCGCCCGATATCTAAGGCATCTGAAAGGGTAATCGTGATGACGTTGAAAGTTTATGTCTATTTTATTCTATTTCCTGAATCTTGAGGTTCTATTCTTGAAAATTGATGGTTGGTGATCAATGGTAAATGGGATTGGGGCTCACGAACGTGTACTCTGTAAGCGAACGAATAAGGTATGATCCCACCCAGCTATCCAAGCGTCCATTATTACTGCGTTTTCTCTTGCTTCTAGGCCACATGACCTTCGTTGTAGAAGCCGGAAAGGCCAAGCAAGATTATCCGGTGGGCTGAAGTCATAAAGCAGGTCGTTATCGTAAGTGGGACGGTCGCAAATAGGTTACAAAAACCCGCCCTAACTGGATATAGTTTCGCAAACGGCAAGATTCCCACATCCCTGAATTTGCATATTTTTACAGTTCCATAGGCAGATATTTCAAAAATCCATCTTACGTGGTTATCTATCTTGGTCCCTACCTTCAATTTATTTGCTGGAGATATGTTATGCCTTTCACAGGGGACGTTTGGATCTAACAATAATTGCAGCGCTTTTCCCCCATGCCCCGCCTGCGTAACACTTCATAAATCCGGAAGCACTCTGTATGTTGGGTCACAGGGGGCGGGAAGGTAAATGCGAGTCATGCAGCCCCCACTTGAGAGGAGCAGGAATCGATTACGGATTTTGGACGGCAAATTTTAGCAGTGGGTGTACCGTGTGGGATTGGCGATTCATGCACAGTAATACAACATCGCGCCGGGGTTGTATGTAGTGGGTTATTCTCGGGTAAACGGGCTGTCAGATGATGGCAGCTGCAGCCTTTATTGGGGGTATGCAAAAAGGTCCAGGTAGTTTTTGATGACAATATGTGACGTTTATCTGGCACAATCCCCAGATCGTCGGTTTAGATGTGCCTGGTTGCAAGGGGAAGTCATGATCATATCTGAAGAGATATCGCGCTCCACGTTTCCATAAGGGATTATAAAAAATGTGGCTGACTTTGATTTCAATGACTTAACCCATTATTCACGAGTATTGCTTTTTATTCACCTTTGTATTGAATTTTTCTTTTTCTTTTCTTTTCTTTTTTTTTTTTTTTTTTTGATCGAGCTTCTAAAATTTTTAGGTTATAACTTAGTTGTAAGGGAGACTGTAATTAGGAGATTGAGCTGGCGCTTATTAGGCATCACATTACACGTAGACCCTTGTTGGATATATAATATAGAAATGCAGGATTAACCAGTTAAAGCGGTAATAAGAGTTATTTATATTTTCATATAAAGGTGCCGCCTTGATGGGGTTTTGTGGGCGATGGAATCAACCAGACTTTAAGGTAAATCTTTAGGCTCATCCCGAACCGAACTTTGAACCTTGGGAATGGCACTTCGCGTCGAGCGGTTGCGCGTAACCCCAACGCTTAGAAAGAAGGACAACAAGCAAGAATGGAAAGTATGGATGATAATACTGAAGCAAATAATGTTTTGAAGCATCCTGTGAAAATTCCCTGATCGCATCGTATCGTAGCTAGAACGTGCTATACCGTATTCCCAGTGATTGATGTGCAAGGTTGAAGTACCCTACGAACCAATGGCGGTCGATGGATGTGGCAGTGATGCTGATAGCCATGGATAAAAAAAAAATATTGTTATTACAGCAAAACAAACCATGCATTCGAACCTTTCTAGGCTCTTTGACGGTGGAGAAAAGCCCTCCCTCCCTTCTTTGTAACAATCCCGGAAACAAGTAACTATTATGATTATTCCGATACTCTCGTAAAAGGGCTTTGGAAACCATTTATTCCCCAAGAAGTGTGTCCCTTGCATTTCACAACTCAGACCGAGTCAAGCATTATCAAAGGTACAAGGTTCCACAGGATGCGAATCATGTAGATTTTCCTCCCTTTTCCCGCTCCGCCTTCCGTAGCGCCCGCTTTCGAATAGATTCATGCATCGCCTTATTATAGCCCAGAACGAACTTACCCATTTTGCCCAGAACCTGCGTGAGCGCAAAGGCCATCAGGCCGTGACTCCAGTAGGGTGCTGAGGTATATGCATACGCTGAGAGCCCGCTTCCACGACCAATTTTGCTGAGAGCAGCGCGAACCATGTCACGCGGATTGGGGATGGTAACGCTAGCCCGACGGATTTTGGACATGGCCGACGTCACCAAGTGGCTCTGGACAAGCTGGACCTGGACCCCGTATGGCTCAAGCTCGGAGCCCAAAGCGGTCGACCAATATTGCAGGAACGCCTTGCTGCCGGAGTATGTGGCGAGCAACGGAGTGGGTAGCATTCCGGCAAAAGAAGCCATGGTCAGGATCAAACCGCGCTTGCGCTGCATCATTCCCGGAGCTACCAGCTGGGTGATACGTAGGGTGCCAAGACAGTTGATGGTAATGATATCTTCCATTTCGTCCAGAGGGGTTAAGACGAAGGGGGTGGGTATGCTATGGCTGCGGCCGACGTTATTGACGAGAATGGAGACATCGAGGTCTTGGATCAGGGCCTTGAGTTTCTCATAGTCGAGATCGTTATTGGCGGAGAAATCCATCGTATGGATTTTGGTTTGTGCGGTGGGGGTTTTAGTTTTGATTTCATTGGCGACGGCGGTTAGCTTTGAGGCTCTCCGCGAAATAAGAAGGATATTATAGCCCGCGCGCGCTAGTTGGAGAGAGAATTCTCTACCGATTCCTTCGGAAGCGCCAGTGACCACGGCCCAGCTGCCTTTTGGGCCGAATTTCGTCAGCTAGATTTGTGACAGAAAGGGTAAGCTGAAGGATCCTTAGGAGTGTTGAATTGAAGTAAAAAATGTGGGGAGGAACGCAGTAGCCGTACCTTTTGGCCTGGTAGAATGAAAATACTAAACAAAGCGCGGAGAAAGCTGAGCAGTTTGCATGTTGTAATCAACGCCCCTGTCACCAGCAGGAAGGTTGCAGCCGACTGCCAGCCTGAAGCCGGCTCAAAGCGGAACTGCGCAAGGCGGCCCATAAAGCTGGCTGAACAAGCCATTGGTTGCCCTGCAGAGCTTCTCAACGAAAGAGAGATTGTGAGCAACGGATACTTCGGAGGAAAGCAGGGGGAGATAGTTCGTTGGAGGAGCTGGGATGTACGTATAACCTGATGTGACTTTGTGTCCCGTGACGATGCTTCAAGACGCGTTCCAAGAAATCTATTACGTGATCCACTCTCCGTGCCCGTATTAATTGATCGTACCGAGGTTGAAAACTGTAGGAAGTCGAAGGAATGCAATTGGTTGAAGGCCGGTTGATCACGTGGTTGAGCTCAGCCGCACCGGGGAGGAGCCTTGGCGTTGAGCCAGGGGAAACTGCTGGGACGGTTTTCAATCTCGTCTTCGGATGAGATGGCTAGCTGGACTCTTTAAAAGATGCTGTAATGCAAGATAAATTTGCTAAATCAATCCGTACTCACCAAGTGAACAATCAGATAGAGAGCATAAAGTAGATACACCGTTGTATGTTTATCGAGTGAAATATGACTGACCCACTGCATCTGGTGCAACTTGAACCTACTATCACATTTTAACTCCATTACTTAGTTGTGCGTATAAACACAAGATCAAGAAATCACTGTTGTGTTAGCTGTCTCTCAATGCTTACCATAGTTCGTACTATCTGACTTCGCAAAAATAGGGGAGTAGAGTTGAGGCGACTCTGGCAAAGCCAGTATTGTATGAGATTAGCATAGCAAGCTCATCACGGTAGCTGTGAAGCCAGCTTCTCATCCGGCCAAGACTTTGAATATAAAAAGCAGAACAGCACATCAATCATTAAGAATTCCTGGTTTATCAGATCAATTATAGTTACCTGGTTTTGATTATGTGAGTCATCTCCATAAGACTTGGTTGGCTATTACTCATTCTCCTGCTTCCTAACTTGTTCTCATTTGAGATGTTTCATCAAAACGGCCAGCTCTTGACCTGGATTCCGCCTGTGTGGCAACACCGTACGGTAGGTCACGCCTAGATATTAGAAGGAGCCCTGCTCATTTGTTCTGGATAATAACAATGCATTTCTCGCAAACAGGAACTTTGCAAAATGTGCTGCCCACCGTCAGATACAGAGGATGATAACGAAATTCACGTGGAGAGGGTGGCTGTGGTAGGGCTTAAACGAGAAACACACACAGAGATGCACAATGAAGGGGTAATTGCACAGGCGAACAGACTGACAAAACCTGTTGACCTGCAGCGCCGCAAGGCAGGGGCACGGTAGTGGAGGCAGGTGGGGAGGACAACAGCAATGGACGAGTTGAGAAAACTAAATCAAATTTTGTATGCAACCACCGTGAGAACTTCCGGACTCCAAAGGTTTCATGAAACGCGACATCGTCTCACCACGCTGCTTTTCAACCTGCGTTCAATAAACCCATCGTGTTGAATCTCGTGAACACATGGGGATCAAACAAAAGTTAGAATCTTTTCAAGAGTCTTGCAAATCTCAGTTGGATATTGTCAGAAGATTCTGGACAATGCGGCGGGGTCACTTAAACGCATGAGCGGGATGAAACGTTCCTTTTCCCCTTATTGTAAAATAGGTTTTAGGAGAATAGATAGCGTGACTTTCACATATGGCTTCGCAAAGACCTCTGTGAGCTCCTTGAAAAAAGATTGTAACTATCCTTACTGACCAGATCAACAAGTACGAAGACTGGACTATTCCCTCTCGGTGAGGACGTGCCCACCTCGGATCAAATCAAGCGGGAGGGGCCATGAATATAATCATTGGCAATTTGAAAATGTGATATCCTGCCATCAATGCTGCAGAAATCTAGAAATCATTTAAGCTTCAGGCAGATTAACATATTCTATCCAAATGTAGGCCAAAGACAGCACAATTTAGTCGTCTAATTGACGTTGGACATAGAGATGACTTTGGAAAGTTGAAAGGATTTAAAAATCAGCTGCTCAACGGAAGTTTCGTATAAATGGAGAAAACGTCATCAAGAAATTGTGGACTAGGGATTTAAGCAAAAGACCTCGCTTGAAAGACACCAAAGTGGTGTATACAGTTTGGCCCATGGATGGCCCAAGTCCGTATAGTTGTGGAATAGGGACGGTTGAGCGATTCTGTTGGAGCTTATGCCTAGGTCCCAAATTCGCAACAGCCCCTTTAATCCGCATTGTTTGGGCAGCAGTTCTCATCAATATCTTGAGAAAAAGGAAATTGAATCTCGATCGCTTCGCTTGACCTCCTCCCTGAGCAACAATACCAATCCAGAGGCAAACATTGAAGCTGCCATTTCTCCAGTCCTCAAAATCCATGACATGACGAATGCCCATGGAGGAAGGGTCAGGAAAATGTGCCGCAATTATTTATAACAACCACATTGTTTGTTTAGATATTCTTCAAACAGTGGTGATTGAACAAGCATCATCAAGCGGTTCGAAACCAACCCTTGTATAGATGCTGGAGTGGAACCGTGCGTATTTGAAGTTTCCGAGGCTCTAACGTAAGCAGAATAGGGGCAAGGTTTGAGATGACATCAACGGGCCGTGGGTTAATCCGCGCCTGGATCTTGGGAATTCCTTTCGATGTTCAGCTTTCGAAGTAAAGAGCAGTACTACACCCTCTAATATATATCTTACACTTCCCCTCCTCATCTCCAAAACAATTTTATTGATTAACAAATTTATACAACCATCAGAGGTGCAGTGCAGCCCCTTTCAATTCTAGAACCTCCCAAATCCATCCACAATGTCTCTGCTCTCCTACCTCCCGCAACATGAAGGACTCCTCCCTAGATGGCTCTTCTTTGTCTGTATATCCAACCCCCCCAACCCAACAACTACAACAACAACAAATGTTTTCTTTCTGCATATACACATGTAGTCTGTAATCTCCAAACTAACCCCCCCCATAATTTAACCCGAGAACAGGTCTCCATCGTCTCCGCTCTAAACTCGTCCCAAGCCTACCTTAGCTCAAACTACACAGCACAGCTCTACAACAACGCCCCCGCCAATGCCGTCCAGTCGCGCACTTTTGGTACTTGGACCTTCCTCTCCTCCATAATCCGGCTGTATGCCGCCTATTATATTAGCGAATCGCATGTGTACGATTTGGCCATGTGGACGTATGGAATTGCCTTTGCGCATTTCGTGAGCGAGTGGTTGATTTTCGGCAGCGCCAAAGCCAAGGGGAGGTTCATCAGTCCACTGTTCGTCGCGAGTGGGAGTCTGCTGTGGATGGCCACGCAGAGAAAGTGGTATTCGGCATAGACCCTGTCGTTTGGGAAGGGTCTTGCAGTGGGGAAAAGGTAAGTAGTGGGGCTTAAAAATGATAAAAATGGTGTATTTGGGTGTGCATATATATAGCATGTAATGCGCAAATAAGCTTTAATATGGCGGATTGAAATGGGATATTATTCTTGTTTTTAAATTATGGTATTGATTTCTGACTTTGGAAGGGATAATAAGGGGTATTTCTGTGAGTTTCCAGTTATGCTATCTTTCGTTCAACCAATGTCGAAATAACATTTGCGGGATTGTATCACTAATAGACGGGGCACTTATCCAGTAAATAGCACTGGATCTAAATTACTCAGATTGCTCTTTTAAATTATCGCGATAAAGCGGGCCTGCGTATTGCCTGAGTCGGGTCGCAGCTTGTTCGGGGGTAATGTCCCGCTGAGGTTCCGCAAACATTTCATACCTATATAAGAACCCGTTAGCCATTCTAAGAATAAAGGCGTAGAAATGATTGTTATTCTGAATAAATGAAAATTCACTTACCCAACCAAAAATTTCCTCACAGATGCACTTCTCAATAATGGAGGATAAAAATGAATATGGAAATGAGACGCTTCGAATTCCTCTTCCGATCCACAAAGCGGAGCTTGATGAATGCCCATACTGTATGGGAAATGTGTCTCAAACAAGTTATCATAGCGCCTCGTGATTTCTGCTATGGCCTCTGCCAATAACTGCTTTTCCGAGGCAGTAAGATCTACAAGGGCGCGTTTGTGCTGTTTGCTGACTATCATCGTTTCGAAGGGCCAGGTTGCCCACCACGGACAAAGAACAAGGAACAGGTCATTTTCGAATACAACGCGCTCCTGCTTTCGCGACTCGAGCATCGCGTAGTCTTCAAGCATGTGCCTGCCACTGTTTTCATTCCGGTATTTCTGAAGCTGCGATAGCTCCAACGTGAGTTCCTCGGGAAGGCTGCTGAGTGTCCAGACCTGCCCATGTGGGTGCGGGTTGGAACAACCCATGGCGGCGCCTTTGTTTTCGAAGATCTGCATGTAGCGAAGTTGTTTCTTGGGTATTGATATTTGGGAAATGGGTGACTCTGGTGAGATGGGCATGCGAGAAGCGGCCGCCGCTAATGGAGATGAGGGCGAGAGGTGTGAGATGTATAGATCCGTCCAGGCATCGATAATGAGCTTTATCTCAGCTGGCGAAAGATCTGCGAGGGTGCGATTGTGGCTCGCGGAGAATGTGAGAACGTAGCACCTGCCAGTGACAGGCTCGGCTTGGAAAAATTGGGATGAAAGGTCTATTCGCATTATGGAGCAAAAGGGTGTCATTAAATCATTTTGGACAAAACGAGCGGTAAATACAGGGATAAAACATTTGAAACGCACCGCCATCCCTCACCTCCGGTTGGTAAGCAGCCTGTTCTTCCTTGACTGCACTGTAGTCATTTATGAACATGAATGTGTTCTTGTACTGCGGATTCTGGTCGCCTTGCGCGCGTTTATTACCAGGACACAAGTAACAGCTGGGATCATAAACGGGGAGGGCCGTTTTGGACGGGGATTCTTGTTGGCCCCTGTAAGACGGGTTGTCAGATATAATACAACGTTGCTGTTTTCATTGCACGGGAACCAACGTACTGCCATGGTCTCTTGGTTCGATGTGGGGATACTAGAACATAGGAACCCCGCAGGATGTTGTATCTCCGGTGCGAGATGTCATCGAGCACGGATTCCACCATAGTTATGATGGCCTTGACTTTTCAAAATTTCCTAAATGGACCAAAAAATAAGTAAGAAAAATATAAATTAAGAATAGGAGAGGTCTTAATAAAGATATCCAGTCGTCGCTGATTTCCTGTCGCAGCGGAGCGGAGAAAAGGAGCCAGGAAGTTGTAGAGATGGTTCAACCCGCCAAAGTGTGGTTTCACAAATGACGTCATGGGGCAGCTTTACTAGGGGAACCAAGGTATAAGTAAAGCATAGTTGTGGACAACAGAACCAGTGAAAAATAATGAGAGGGAGAACAGAATTATAGGAGTAAATGAAATAGTAGCTCTCCGCTGAGAAATAATCCCCGTGTTCCTGAACGTTGATAAAGAGGCACAAAATCATCCGGGGCAGGCCCTTCATCAAAGCTTGATGACTAAGCCATATCCAATAAAATAGTTAACTAGTTAGTTGTTAGTCAAAAATACAAAATTGCATCTCCTACTTCATTCCCACCAAGTTTTTGCAATATTTCCTTAACTACTTCCGACGTAACTAACCTGTTTGAATAGAAACAACCATCTTCAATGCCTTGCACTCGTTGACAATGCGGCTGGATACCGTCAGGGTTGCATGGAAAATTCTACTTTTTAGCTGCCCAATGTGTTCAATCAGCTGCTCTCTCCAACTCTGGAGCTTTGCAATCTCTGATTAATCCCAATACAAACAATTGACAACAGCTTTTGAAACCAAGGAGGCGCCCGGTTTTCCAAAGGATATCTAAATACTAGTTGAGTACTATGACCTTTCAACTTCCCGAGGCTCTTCGTCTCTTTCTTCTGTCTTTTCTTTCATATATACCAATATGCAAAATATGTTAATTCCTACCTAGTACGACCAGGTTAATCCTCTCGACTATGAGCCTGATCCAGCATTGGATTCATGGAATGCAAACTGGAGACAGCAGTCTCTATACTTATATCAGAATAGAGCTCTTTGCGTTGCCTCCGCCTTATGCGCTGACTAGAACGATCCAGAAGGATTCCAAACGTCACTACCATTTATAGGGCTGGGACAAATACGCATACTTTAATATTCTTCAACGCCTATTGTGCTCAGGCGTGGATAGTATGTATGTTGCCATACTCAGCCTGAAGGATTAACTTTCATCGTGTGAGAGAGCTGTAAGTATGGAACTAGTTAGATATCTTCACTTCTGTCGTTGTGCTTACTAAGCGACTGACTCGAGAATATTAATTCGAGATGTCGCCGTTTTCTGTCCTAAGGATCCGGCCTAGACACTGCACTGCATTTACACAATCGTATCGACATGTCGAGGCTAGACATGTCAATGGAGCCTGATGCCATAGGTTGGCACAGAACTACGCTCCTCTCTCTCCCCAATGAGGTATGTGATTTGAATCTATGTTGTTAGTATTCAGCAGCCCCACCCGGCAACATCTACATCCCCAACTTTTTATTTTTATTCTCATTTGCATTGCAATTACCTACTTCAAGTAACAGTTATATCGCCAGCTCATTTTACAAATACTTGACCCCCTTCCAACCCGCTCTCTCCTTCCTTTATCCCTCACCTGTCGGCGCATCCGCGATATCATTGCACGCCTCATCTATTACCGCCTATACACCCTCATGACAACCGTAGGGGCTGACAGCACTTTTCTCGAGTGCTACCATCCCGCCTTTAAACCCATCGGGCCATACTTGAAATGTGCCTATCTACGCACTGATGCGCTTATTGACCACGGAAGCTCCGCTCATAATGACCCCACAGCTCCCGACCAACTTGACAAATCCGACTCTGCACGATTCACGACGACAGAATACCTAGGGCGGTTAAACAGCTCATATACTCACTTCCTTCCCCTGTGTCCCAGAGGGCCTTGGATAAATACGAACATGTCCATGGCAGGGTCCTCCCGATTCATGGTAGAACAAACAATCTGCCCGCAACAGCAATTAGATAACAGCTATAACATGCACATCCGAGGTTCCATTTTCCTGGATGAAAACGAACTATTCTCTCAGCTTATTACGGGGGTGTGGCTCGGGAGACCACATAGGCAGAGATATTTGCTGGATGGTGGAGTTGTGAGACTCTGGAGACGGTGGCTAGGGGATAGAGATAGGGAGAGGAGAAGGGAGTGGAAAAGGATGTTTATGACTGGGATTGGTGTTGGGGCTTATGGTGGAGAAACCTACTCTGCGGTGAAGACAGGGGATCCAGCATATAGTGGGCAGATTGGAGAGATGGTTCCTCCCTGGGAAGGCAATAGCGTTCTCTGGTTTGGAGAGAAACGGGCAGGACTCAAGTTTCGCGTGTGTCACCGGAATCGAGGCGAGGGATTGCAGTTTGGGGGGGAATCTGACACTGACAGCGACGTGGGAGAGGAGCGGGGTGAGGACGATGACAACACGTCGGTCCGGTATGACATTGAAATTGAAGGTTGGTATTCAAAATGTTCATTATATTGTCTTGGGACAGGCTAATTAATCTCCCTGAATTGGTCGTTTGTTTGCTCCTTTTTGTGAGCTGCGTGACCTAACGCTTAACGTTTTGATCAGAGCTTCTTGTGCACACTACGACACTTTTACTTGCAATCGAGAAAGGTTGTTGCAAGTAATAATTTTGGAGAGTTAGGGGGGATTGGATGGATGGAGTGGGCGCAGATGGGAAGTTTTAATACAACGCCAGATAAGATCTATCGTCGTTCGGATATCGATTGACATAGTTTGGGGATGCTAGTCGTCGAGATATCTCTTTTCTCATTATTTGACAGGAAGCAGTGGAGCTCAACCTACTTTGGCCATTTCAAAGATAACCATCCTTTCAAGGACTTCAATTGTGGCATGTCCCTGCTGTTTGAATACTTAAAACCGTTAGATTTTATTAATGGTACAGACGTCGGACAAATACTGGAAAGTGGGGAGCTTGATGATCCGCAACTTTGAACACCGGTAGACGGCCCATCTCCGCGTTCTCGCTCATCCTGCTCATGGTTGACAACCTTATTCGATGAGAAGGGCGCACGGTGTCCAACCCATGAGCTCAAAGGAAGCTAACTGCAGGTCCTGTTCAGCACTTACAATGCAGAACTTCGCTCACCTCTTACATCGAATGGGTTGCTCGTGGCCGCTTACTGATGACAGGGCGACGTGGATTACCAGGGCCCCACTAACATTGCAGGCACTATGTTCCAACTCAGCTTTAACGGGATGCACGTACTGAACAGAGGAATACGGGGTCAATGATCGCTCCTGGTAGATCCAGCAGGAGTGGTCCTCGAGGCGTGAGCAAGGTGGTCAATAAACGTGTGTTGAATGACATGAAATTTTGCTTCGATGTGTCGTCTAGGGTCGTCTGGGGTGTGTCGTTTTCCAGAAGGCCCGAACTTGTCAGATCAGTGTAGTGGAAGCCAAGTTTTGACGGATTTGCTAGTAATTCTTTGATTGCTGGAAAGCGTTGTTTAGAGGTATGGAGTATTGACGAAGATCGTCATATATGGTAGACAAAAGATTGGTGATGCCATTCATAGTTTTATTCAAACAACAGCAGAAGACATTAAGCATAATGCCCAACTCGTTTTTCATGTCAGTTGCTCGGTAAGTTGGGGATGATACCGATTGTTTTCAACCATAGGACATGTCGTGGCAATTAGGATAGAAAAATAAATACAATTACTAGTAAAGTATGAAATGAACCCAATCATGCAAGGGGTCAAGTGATGTGCTGCTGATTATATCAATGTTTGCTTTTCCCAGCAGGTTTTTCACTGCCCACTCCATCGTCACACACAGCAGCACACAGTGAAAGAATTGGATCATACGCACTGGCTGCGTGTACAAAGTCGTCCACACAATTGAAGGCGGGGAGCTGAGAGTTTTGTGTCTCACGAGAATAGGCAAAGTTCGAGCGTGTTGTGCTCCTCGGATTTTTGAGAGAGCAATTGGACAAGGTTGGGAGCAAACAGACAGAAAGTTAAAGCAGGTCAGTGAGTCTCACGCTGGTGATCATTGGGAAAAGTCGAGCGGCTGCAATTGCTTCTTGAAAAGGGATTCATTCGGGGCCACGTTGAACCCGTAGCACTCCTCAACCAATGCAAAAAGACCAAGGAAATGGGGGAACATAGCGATTGTATGGTCGAAATGAGAGAACAATTAGCTATGCATCTTCATAACAACCAGACTTGCTGTTAACGTTAACGAGGCAAAGGAGCCAAATGGACTCGGCAAAACATAAATACGTCCGGCTGAAGAAACTCGAGCCAGACGTTCGACATTTGCAGGCCAGCCCACATATCAACAAAGAGAAAAGGCGGTCCAGCGCTGCACGTATAGTGTCCCATTGTGGATTGGGTATCGACGAATCAGCCATGCCACTGTCGGGCGCACCGGGTGTCATCGGCAGGCAATATCCAATCCCTCTTTTGATTGGCCTGCATCGCATGCTAAATATGCAGAAACTGGGTGGACGAATCTGTGGGGTATCATAAGAAGAATGCAAACATGTTAAGAGGATACAATTTTCACAGTGCGAGGGAGGCTGATGGGGATGCAAGGATATTTATGTATTTGTGAGGTTTACAAGAGGCGCAAAGGGAGTTCTGAGCGGGTCTATAGACAGCAAACATATTGATCGATTGCTTGACCCCGGGCTTTTTCAATATCGAATATCGTAGCGTTGGGCATCCAGGGCGTCAACGAAGCTTGGTATCGGCAACGAGCATCTGTTGCCGCAGGGGAGAGGTGGATTTGATACGGACGACGCCTCGGTAGGTCCTGGGCCGAGAGATCGAGTGTGCTCTATATAAGTTAATATCGTTTGGGTGGAACAGGGTATATATATACTTATATAAATATATGGGTGTTTCGCATCATTCCCATTTATAATTCTAGTCTTCACAGGAATCAGGCAATAACAAGCTTCGATGTTGTACATAAGGACGCCGGGGAAAACAGTCGAGCTGAAAGCATTGAAGTTACCACCGTGAGAGTTCATCCATCACTTCTTCTTAACTAGCTAATAATTCATTCCATCGTTGTCGAAGGGATTCTTATTAATATTCGTTTTTAGGCGTCTGTCCTGTGCAAAAGATCGCCGTTCGGCTAGTTAAATATTTATGACCTCAACCCCCCCGGATTAATAACTAATCGTCATACCCATCGAGAACCAAATATTTATCTCTATTAGTGCTCACAGAAGAACAACTTAGTGCTACCACTGCACACAATATCGTCCTTTTGCTTCGAGTTGATTTTCCATCTGCCGATATCTTCACTGGCGCTTGGTCCACCTGATAAATATAGCTACTGACAACGGTCCAACACCAAAAACAACTCTGTTCCCCGCTCCAGCCGCGGGAGAAACCTGAACCTTTTATTGAGAAGCACTCGTCTGGCGCGCTGGTTTCCAGCCTCAATTTTCACGGATCTTGGATACCTTGTTCCGCATTCTACAAAGCTCTACGAAAGAGAGTTCCGGCTAAGGACGCTACTTAAATAACCGCTTTCTTCATGCCCCGCCACCGCGATTCATCCTCCTCCAGTAGCAGCAGCTCTGGAAGGGGTGGAGGAGGGGGAGGCCGATGGGATGCAAACCGTTTCTTCAGAGAGCGCGATGAGCGCCAGGAATCGCAGACCCGAGAAAGACGAACTACACAAGTTGTTGATCGACCTCCGCCTGCAGAAAGACGGCGACGTAATATCGACGATATACTCCAGGCCGCCCATGAGTGCTACGGCCCGCCTGCCAGGAGAGCTGATCGGACCTATAACGACGAACACCTCATCCCCTCGTCAGGTGTCTTAATACCCTACCAGGAGAGAGAGCAACGGGACCGGAGCCCAGTATTACGTCCTCGACTCCTCCGTCGCCAATCCTCGCTCGACACCTTCGACCGTGCCGCCAGTCGGCGGGTCCATGATGCCTATGATAGCGAGGACTACGGACCCCCGGTGACTCCGATTCCGATAGTTGTCCCGCGACGGAGACGCACACCCCCTGTCCATGAAAAAACTGACTTGACTGAGATACGCGTTGCAGAGCCAGACTATTATGGAGACGAAGTGTTCCGCACTATACGCTCGCGGGATAGAAGTGTTACCCCCCGGCCACGGGGTCGGAGCGTTGTAACTGTTCCCCGGGAAGTCGAGGTGAGGGAGATTCGGCCTGCATCAGCGCCACGCCGCGGGATGACTCGTGTGCCCAAGCACATCGTCCACCCTCGAGCCATTATTGATTCTGGCTACACGTATGAGGAAGAGGTATGCGTGGTTCCCCACCCTCCCCCCCCCCCCCCCCCCCCCCCCCCCTCCTTTCTCTCACACACATACCTGTTCACCTAATTGCAATAATTAACTGACTGACACATGTGACATCTAGGGCAACTCCTATCTTATTTTCCAAGCACTGCAGGAATCTCATATTGAAGACTTAGTCTCCAGGAGCAGGGAAATCAGACGAACACCTAGTCCGTGCAGTTCCTTTCTTCTCTCTGAAACCAACAGTTCATTCCCACAACTAGTTGGTGTTGAACATCCAAATATGTCAATTGTTGAGAATCCTACTAATTTGTTGCCCCTCTTATACAGCAACGACAGAAATAAAGGATACATTGGCCGTTGGCCCTCCACGGGAAACCATCAGCATGGAAAGAAGGCGATCAGTCTCAAGGAGGCCCATACGAGTAGTAGAATCACGGTCGCGAAGGCCATCTGTCTCACGAGTAGAGGTCCAGCCCATCCGTCACCATCGCCGTCGACGATCGTCACCTATCCGAATCATCGAACCCAGGGACGTCGTCGTGGAAGATGTCCTTGTACCCCGCGCAGAAGTTGCGCTCATCATGCCTGACCGCCATCGACTCCGCGAGAGAGATATCCGAGCAGACATCCTCGCCTTGGATCGGGAGAGGAGAGCTCTAAGGCAAGAACGTGTGGAGGGAGCATTGGAAGTTGAAGAAACTCTGGATGTGCGACGGGAACCTAAAGGTATGCTTAAATTTTAACTTCGCTCTATCCTTGGTTCTTGACGAGTTTAAAAAGGTTTTTTGCGTAAATGTCAACTAACAACACCTGGGGGATTTAGCACCAAGCCCTCGACTTATCAGGGCGATGATGGCAACGCTGACCTGATTGTTTAAATGTAAATTAATTCGAGCGTTACCAAGACTCAGAATAGCGGATAAGAATGACCTTAATGGCAATGAATGGGGTGTTCGGCCCTTGCGTCCGCTTGCCTCCACCTATTCTATTTAACCGGTGTAATTCGAATTTTTCTTTTCTTTTCTTTTCTTTTCTTTTCTTTTTTTTTTTTTTTAGTTTATTTATTTATTTTTTCATCTTTCATTGGGGGGTGTCCTCACGTATGCAGAGTATGGCAATCTGACCTGTGTCGTTTTCGAACCTGTCCAAAATTGTGGCATTCGGGGAGCTATCTGTGCAGAGATCATGCTATTTGCTCGGAAGCGGCTTTTATCTTTTATCACTGTATCTACCTATTAGGTGCCCTAGGTACCTTATCCTAGACCTGCTTGATGCAACTTCATTACTATATTCATGATGAATACAGGTAATTATGCTCAGGTTGGCCTCCAATCTCGTCATCAGCACGTATTTAAGGTTTAGAGGGGTACCAATGGTACGTAAATTTGAAAGCGAATCACATGACTTACGGCAGAATATGAGGTGACCGAAAACGGATAGTTTCCCCGGCGTCGGGGCTGAAACGTCCGACTGCTCTTTGGTGTCTCAACTTCGACGACATCTCACATATCCCTAGGGCAAATTACCACCTCCGCGCAGTGTGAAGAATTATCTATCTACTACAAACATTACCTTCCTGCCCATCCAATATCTCCAACTGTCCTGCAAGGTAGTCTTCCCGCGACCATGGACAAAGTACAGGCTTTTGGGAAGAACATCAGGTACCAGATTTTCCCCATCTCCTCCTGACTTGGCATCCAGTTCCACCCCAAGCTGCGATGCAGGTCCCTCTCCCGCCAACCAGTGAACGCTCGGTATTATTTATTTCTTTTTAAAATGGACCCCATTTTCTGATTGTGGCGAATTGCCATCATCCAACATAGTGCGTCGTTTACCCCTTTCGCCGCCCGAACCCAGCAATATGTAAAGGAACAACTTGGACAGGTGGAAGAGAAGGTACGCAATCATGATATATCCATCTGTGACTTTGGAAAAATCCCTCTTCGACATGACGGACTCCCTGGATAACTCGCGATATTATTGGCTAGACACAACTTCCCGATGACTATATCCAACTCGAGAAGCGCGTGGATGCGTTGAAGCTAGTACATCAGAAGCTCTTGCAGGTTACGTATGTACAGAATTATCATATACAGTCCACGCCACTTTCAACCTATGTTAGATTTTGGGACAATGTTCAGTTCAGCTATCTTTGACCACAGCTTAAAAGTGCAACCCTTTGCTGATACTTAAAACATTTATTCGTAAAATAAATCTTTAGCTCCCAATACTCGCACGAAGCATATGATTACCCTCCCAATATCCGGGAGTCCTTCAACGACCTTGGCCGCACGATCAGCGAGAAAGTCCAACTTCTCTCCCATGCCACCTCCCCCGCTGAGGCCCAGGCTGCCCTTACGGCTCCCCCATCCGCCAAACCACAGCCCAAAACTTTCAGCCATGCCATCGCTCGCGCCTCGTTGGCCGGCTCTCATCTAATCTCCCAGGCCCATTCTGGTGGTTCGGAGGACCCTCTTGCCATCGGCTTGGAGAAATATGCACTTGCCTCAGAACGGGTTGGCGAGGCACGACTGACCCAGGATGCTCAGATCCAGAGCCGGTTCCTGGCCGGGTGGAATACCACGCTGAACACCAACTTGATGTTCGCAGCCAAAGCCCGCAAGAACGTTGAGAATGCGAGGTTGATGCTTGATTCGATTAAGGCCAGCAAGGGTGTCTCGAAGGGAGATTTGAACCACCTCAGTGAAGAAGATCGGGCTGAGATTGAGCAGGCGGAAGATGAGTTTGTTGGTCAAACTGAAGAGGCTGTCGGAGTGATGAAAAATGTTAGATTTCACTCTCACTTATTCTGTTTTTACGTATATAATTTTTCAGTTTGTCTCCTGACTAGCAATCTCAGGTTTTGGATACACCCGAACCCCTCCGGAATTTAGCCGACCTGATCGCCGCTCAGTTGGAGTATCACAAGAAGTCATACGAGATCCTCAGCGAACTTGCGCCAGTGGTTGACGGGTTGCAAGTTGAACAAGAGGTTCGTGATTAGTCTTTCAATTCCTAACGGCCTCCAGTACAACTAAAACAAATATATTTTCCCCTTCCCTTGAAATTTAAGCGCTTACCCCACTGTTCGTGCAGAATAAAATCCACTAATTGCCCATCAACAACAGGCTAGCTACCGTAAAAGCCGAGAAGGAGCGTAAATTTACACCAGGCCCCTCCAACACTAAATAAGCTATCAATCAAGCTCTTCTCTTCTGCCGCTATAACTTCCAGTTCGCGAAACTCCCTGACATTCGCACGTTGTCAAACACCCACCATTTCCGGTTTACTTTCCAATGATATATTCCAAGATAATAGGCACGAGATGAACAGGAATCTGGTAGTCTTGAATACATTAAGGGGTTAGATACAAACCCTATTCTTCTCGAAAATTTTGTGTATCAACCAATTCATAATGCTATTGCTTGTCATTCCTACAAACTGATCTATTGGAACCTGTGTTTTGTTGTCTTCATATTTTCCCCTGTGTTTCAAACTCCTGTCAATCACCCTATACCAGAACACACGGGTTCTTGTTCCCATATTCCCTCTGCTGTGTGAGTTTTTACACATGTATATCCAGCTTTCCCTTTTTCCCTTTTGCTTTTCATTTTTCGTTGATTTTTTATTCTTCCTTTGTCAATCCCATTCTATTTTATGTGCTATTCACCTTTACCCTATGTCACCTTTCCCTTTTTTTGCCTGGCCTATCAATGCTATCTATCAGACCTGTCAAGTAACTTATTTCTTGATATTTTCTGTTACCCTCCCTTAACAGTCCAGTAGTGTTGAAATTTTTAGAATTCGTTTTCCGACATAACAATTTCTGCCTACAAACTTTTTTTTAAGGTTTAAGGATCATACTGGCATCTTTCTTCCTCTCATGCACTCCCTCCATATTTTGATTTAAGTGGACCCATGTCATAATTACACGCCGCTGTGGACCGATTTCTCTAGCTATTTAGGAACCTGCCGGGCAACTCATCCATGAAAATGCTCCCATTCAGATATGTCTAGCGAGGGACACTGATTACTATCAGCGGAACAATCCACTCTTCTCTAACACCTAGCCTTCGACTCTATCATTCTGCACATATTTACAAGTACAGAATTCCATGTGCTAATACTGGGGGTCGTATTTCTAACACACATCTCTCTCTTTGAGACCTCAGGAAGTCTGACAACAGGAAAACAAAAAGAAAATAAAAGAAATGCAAAAATCCAACAAGGAAACTTCACTATGCATCCCAACGGCCCAATCCCCAGCCCTCATGAAATGTCAGAGTTCGACGCTCAATCCTCATGAAGAACAGCCCCAACCCCTGGCTCAAAAATATACCATCAATACCCCCTGTTGCAAGGTTCTCGCCAGCCCCTTCAATGCCGCATGTGCTGCGCACCTCTCATCGTAATAGCGCATATCTTCGAGACTTGCGAAGGTTGATACGGCAGCGACGGTATAGCCCTGTCGTCGTTGGTCGTCGATTGTCGGACCTGCTCGGACGGAGAGGATGTATGGGTTGCCGTCCTACATAGAAGGAGTTAAGATAAGGTTGGTGAGTGAAATAGGATCCTGGTTGTAGGGAAGGTCTATATAGAGCGAGTGATGGTGTGTAATGATACGGGATGTATGGGCCTATATATATGGTACCTTGAGCGCATCCTTCTGTATTGTTTGGTATTTTTCTAGTAGTTGCTGTTGATGAGTTGGATCTGGGATCTTGAAGAGGGTTAAACGGGTGATCTGCGACGGCATGGTTGATGAGATAAAGATGTGAATGCTTCCAATGTTGGCAGTTGATTTATTCCTATCTCGTCCTTATGGTTTCAAAGCATAGGAGATGTAGATAGGTAAATGATAAAAAAAGGAGATCCTTATCCTTAATATTCCTTCCTTGTCACAGGTTACTTCTATTGTAGACACAAGATATGGGGCAGCTCTCTTATATATATATCAGCCCGCTATCCAGTTTTTTAAAGCCCCCCTCACTCTCTAGCCTCGGACGGAAAGAAGCCAAATAACTCTTAGAAATGCTCAGCCATTCCCCAGAAATGTCAATGGAGATATGGATCTGGATTCGTCCGTGGAGACTCAAGATATAGCTCATTGCTCTAAGGGCGGAATTTCCGCGCTCTTCGTTACTTGTTTCACACTAACCAGCTAATCCCGTGGATTTCACTGTTAGTCGTTCACCCCACAATCTCCCAGTTGAGAGAAAATTACCAGATTCAACATGCCAAAATTAATGTCGTCAATGTGTATTTGCTAGAAGGTTGTTGGATATAAGGTTGAGATCCTGATTCATCTTGTTTCAATGGGTTAATGCTCGGTGCTCCTATCCTCCAGGTCCCATTAAGTTTCTCATACTAACCCTTCCGCACATTTAACTAAGGAGTTACGTTAGCCAGCTTATGTAATCATATCTTCCAGGCTGCAACGTTAAACTAACTATTAGTTAACAACGGCGTAACTAGTTAGCTGACAAGCCTGAGAGCTCCAGCCTTCAGCTTCAACATCCACTTCATTCAGCGCAAAGGACGGTTTAACACAGCAACCGTTCTACATACCATCAAAATTATACTCTCTACCTGCAAAACTCCGGAACCCCATCTCGCGTCCCCTGCCGCCGCTGCAGTCGTTTCAAGACCAACTACCTATCTCATTCTCGCCCGAAATCCACGACCTGTTCACACCTCAAAAATATCGGGCAGTACTGACAGCCGCAAATACGCCGCAGTTGGTGCCTCCTTTTATTTCGAAGTTGAATAGATATTTCCTGCGCACATATATCTATATTATCTCACATCAATCATGGCAAACGGGTATGGCATTGCCTCTCATGGAAAATTTAACCACCAGTCCGGCCACACGCTGACCAAAACTCCGCCGCCTGCCTGTGCTCTCGTCGAGCAACCACACGGCACTAGGAATGGAATTATATTATAGATGGAGTATAATAATCGGCCTCGTCTTTGTTGTTCTGGCAAATCTGCTTGCTTGGGTATTTAGTCCGAAGGGAGAGGATAGAACGTTAGTGCCTCTATCTCCCTTTATTAGCCCCTGCTATCTCCCTGTTCGATTTAAACCCTTTGAAATGCAAGCCTATTGCATATCTGGTTCTGTTTTGGCTGTTTTTGGAGAATTGGGTGAAGTCCGCGTGTCTTGTTCGCATTATACGAAGAGTAGGCTGTACAGCTCAAGAGGATGATCATATGGAAAGAGGGGAATATCGGTTTCTCAAACTCTCGAACCAGGATGGAAGTGTGGTCAAAAAAATATTAAGAAATCCTGGTTCCCGAGTAAGATGGTTGAGGTCTTGGAAACCGATATGGCCCCTTCGCTCCGTTGTCGTTGGAAAACCGCAGATCCCACACTCTCACTCACCTTTACCCTTCCGCACACTATCACACCAGCAAAGGAAAAAGCTGACACCTATTACAGGGTATGGCGCAGCTCTTTAATACTCGCATTCACATCCTGCTATCTAATGTGGGGTATGTATATACATACATTTTAATCTTATTTCCATTCGTCCAATTCCTTTACCTCGTGCAGAAACATAATCTAACTACAATTCCGCTGTGTAGCAGTAACATTCCTCGCACAATTACATCCATTAATTGCGCCAAAGAGAAGTGATATCCGCCCTGGTATGGTACCGCATTAAATGGGGAAGGGGGTGAAGGAGAGCGCAGGTTTTGAGGCGGACCGACCGCCCTTTTCTATATCGAAATTATCCCTCTTTATCTTCACATCTTTCCAGCTGGTTATGGGGGCATTTTTTTGTGTATGCTTCTCAGCATATATTGTACTTTATTTTTCGGAGGTTTTCTTTTTTGCACTGTGCTAAGAATGTGAGAGATATACCCTAATAATTTAGAAAATTACCCAATACATAAAATGGGATCGGAAACGCTGCCTGTCAGACAGCAATACAATACTGTTGCATAAATAAACATATGATCCCTCTCTGTATTGACTCCAGAGTAAAGTCAAAACCAAAGTCCCAAAGCCCAAATCACCCAAGCGCTAATTCCGATATACATTATTAAATTAAGTGTTTTCCTGGCCTCCTTTACACCTCATAAGCATATCGTCAAAGTCAAGTTATTTGTTCACAATCCCACCACCCCCAACAGTGTCTTTTCAACAACCCATCTCGCGAACTGGCCACCCAGCGCCAGCATCGCTGCCCGTATATACCCGCAATCAAGCAGTATGAAAAGCGCTTCTGTATTATTCAGCAGAACGAGATGGGTATTCGTAATCGAGAGGACAAGGGAGAGGAGCGGGTCTAGGATTGAGGAGGAGAGGGATGATGAGGATATACTTGATGCGTGCGATGGGGATGGAGAAGGAGTTAGTTGCTGCTGCTGTTGTTGCGTCGAGATGCTAGACATAGTGGAAGGGGAGGCGTAGCTCATGACTGTAGAAACCAGGGAACTGGAAATGATTCCTGTGGCTGACCCCGACGCTGCGGTGGTTGTGTTGTTGGCGTCCGGTGTTTCTGGGCTCCAGATCACGAGGAAGATTGGGAAGAGTTTGGTGCAGCTGCTGACGAGGAGCGCGGTGCTTATGGAGTTCGGGCTGGCGGGGAAAGGGGGAGGCATGGGATTGATCTGGAGGAGTGATGTGGACGATCTTCGGACAAGCGGTGGGTGTGCAGGAAGATTATTTGCGGAGGGGTTTTGATTGGGTTCGCTGGAAGTGGGCTGAGGCTGCTGTTGTCCTCCATTGCCTGGTGCCGTGCTGGTGGTGACCGCAGGTGTCTGATTATGGGGCTGTGAAGGGGAATTGTTGAGATGGGGATGGAGAGTTGTAGGGCTGGGTGGGAATAGCTCTGCCCGGCTGGAGTCGTTCCGGGTATTGGTGGGTAATGTAGGCCGCGGGACCAAGAAAGAAGCAAGGAGACGGACTGTAATGTGGTGCGCCAGCGTTGCGAGGGTGTTCAGCGTGAGGAAGAAGAGGTATTGGACTATAATCGGAGATGTTGAGAGTGTGGATGCGGAGAGCGAGGAACTTTTCTCGACCCGTGCCCATGAGAGATAGACGTCAAAGAGTAAGATTAATGTTCCGAGGCGTATAATCGAGCGCTTGAGAGACACATTATTATCCATTCAACAACTACAAGAGTGCCAAACGGGATATGGAGTGTAGGTTGTATACATACATCGAACTTATCGTCGGACCTCCCAAGTCGATTGAACAAGAGGTGCCGATACACCTAGAGCAGAAAGGCTTAAAGTTAGCCAATACCGCAATAGCAGACAACAATTCCGAGCTGGAGAGTATTGCTCACCACTTACCTGCGGCTTTATTAAGACCAGATCGATGAACAACACCACGAAATCATGCTCCACATACTTGTCCGCGAACCGTTTGCAGCGCGGACATTGTGTCAACCGAACTCCCTTGCCTAGTGAGCGGTCATCGGCTTTGCTGTAGGAGGTGTAGAGATGGGAGACGGGATAGCAGCATTCGATACATATTGGCATTGTGGATATTCATGTTGCACATTCGGCAGGGAGGGATTGGGCCTATTCATGTTCCATTTTGGAGTGTTTCTTGTTGTTTGTCTGTTGGTCTCTTATGATGACGTTCAAAGGATTAGTTATGAACTACTTGGTCCGTGCACAAGCCGCAGCTCTTTCAACACGGAGAAAGGGGCAAATTTGGCAGTGGAAATTTTCTCTATCTTCACCAATTACTTTGAACATGGAATTCGGAGGATGGGAATGGCCAGACACAATATACACTGGATTTAAGTTTGGAAGACTATTTATTATCACGGCTATGTTCTTCGTATACACCTATATCCTCTCTCAAGGCTGCGAAGACATGGTAATTATATTTATTACCTGTAACGAAAGCTGTTATAACTAACCAAGCACTACCCCTCCCCACGTTGCAAATTCTCCAGAAATGTCATCATTAAGGCGCATCCATATCAACAGATATATAATGCTCAATCAGCAACATGTTTATTATCCGCCCAACTAGGCTCAATATGCCGACAAACCGCTTCATAATCCCAAAAAACCCTATCGTTTTCTGGTACCCCATCAGTCGTCCAGAACATCGTCCAGTTCGTCCCAGGGAGCTTCCACGTCCCCCTTGCCCGCTCAAAATACCACTTATTCACCGGGTTATCACGACGGCTCCGCCAGGCGACACCCTTGCGTAAACATGTTCGAACCATAGCGTTAAACACGATATCCGCCACGCCGCCCGCCCCCTGGCTACGTTTAAGAACAGCAAATTTATCTAGATACGGAACCATTCGCGATCGGCTTGCTTCGCTTCCGTCATTGGGCACGCCAGGTGGTAGTTCCCAGGTTAAGATGGCTCCGCCTTCATACTCGCCTGCAATGATGAGTCCGGCTAGATGATCATTCACGCGGTTGAGGTAATGTTGCACGTCTAATTTCCTGTTAAACGAGTCTTCGATTAATTGGACGAGTCGAGGTAGGTCGACGCATGGATCATTAAGCGTCATCCGGGATTCTCCATTTTTGAGAGGCTCCCAGATTTGGATACGCGGGTCAGGAAATAGGGTTAGCGGCATGCCCTTTTTGAAAAATGTTGAGTGCATCACTGGGGTTGAATTGTAGGATGAAGAGCCGTTGTTTGCACCCAACCTTCCCGCTGGGAGTGAAGCGGAATGGCTGGGCTTATCAGTAAGTAGATTATGAATCAGGGGATTCCGCTGTCGTCGGGTGCCAACAGAGGATAGCTCTGATGGGTCTCGAGGTGGGCTTGCGGAGTTCGCTGCATCTTGGGGCGTTGTGATGATGCCAGATGAGGACGGTGGTAGGTAGGTTAGGGTGCCATGTAGAAGCTTCAAATTGTCGAGATGCCTCAGAAGATTTGAGGATTGGGAGGTATTTCGATTCGACGCAAGACCTAGCTCATTGGGTAACGACACAGCTTCTTTTTCTACAAACGTTGAAAAGGGATTGGATATCGCCAACGATGATACTGATTGTCGCTCCTCCACACGCTTATCATTCGTGTCTTCGTTTGTGGCCATCCCTAACTTTAACTCTTCGCTAATCTCTTCATATTCCTGCTCCAAATTCACGAAAACGTGCGCTTTCGTGCGCCGTTTGAGTGACGGTATACCACCTGCCGGATCCAACACAATAAGCCTGTCAACAGAGACTTCCTTTTGGAGCTCTGAAACCTTCCGCGCCAGCTCATGGGGGTTATCGGTTGGGCCAGGTTTGACACTCAATCCCGTAAATTCCTTAGTTAATGCCAATACAACATCATCCGCTGGAACAGCAACTCCTGTAAGGGTATCCTCTGTGTAGCCAATAGGCGGAATAACAACAATTCTTCCACGCCGTAATGGAGAAAGAAGTAGATCCCTTGACAGCACAGAAACAGCATTCTCATTAGAAGGATCCAAGCGTATAACATCATCCAGTCGTTGGGAGTCTAAACCATTATCACTTGCATCAATTGCAGCTGACACACGGTCTGCCTGTTCAATTGCACGTTTTCTCCATGAGGGATCATTTTCGGGCAGTGAGGGATCAACCACGACACAACAACCCATCCCAAGCATGGCGAGCTGTGACAGTGTTCTTCCAACCCCTTTGAGCGTGTTGTCCTCCAGCAGCTGAGGTTCCCGAATCTTGACTAGAGCAATGTGTAGTGGCTCTGGATACATTCCTAGTAGTGGTGATATCTGGGGCGTAGAGTCCTGTCTCAACACCGGAAGATTATCCGTAGCTCTCGCTACACCAGACACCGCATCTCCCAGATTTAATCCTGACCCGACGATATTTGTGTCTACCCCGCCCAAGACATTGGTATTAGCGACCTGCTGCTTCGGCTTTCCGGGAGCTGGCATCTGATATTTGAAGCGTGAAAGATACGACTGAGCTTCTCTTTTCGTCGACGCAGAGCTTAGCAGGCTGAAGAAAAAGTCCTAACATCAGAAAAATAACAGTTAATCCCTCACAGTCTACGAATAGATGCTCAATCTCTCAAGGGCAAAGCGATTGATGATAACCTTATCCGCCAACTTCTCCCTAGCCCTGTGACCCAGCTGTTTCTGATAATCATTCTGCTCTGGAGGCGTTGCACCATCCTGCCGCCTAACAGAGGATGTGGACACAAGGCGTCCTTCCGGAGCTAGGAAGCAACTGGTTTTTATGGGAGGGCATCTGGAGGTGCATGGAGGGACAATGATTCGTTCATACTGGAGACCAAGAAGATGGGGAAGAAAAAGAAGCGATGTTAGCAAACATAATCTCCTGCCATGTGAGCACGGGGAAGACCAAACCTTGGAAACGCACCTTATGAAGGAATAGGCGTGGCCCCGAGGGCCAGCCCAACACCGCTCTTCGGCTCATCGTGCATGATTTTCGGACAACGTTGAGGTGTGGTTAGAAGGTATGTGGAGAGGAGAACTCCGCAGTGGTTTATTGAGGGAACAGCTGAGCGGTTTAACTACAACTCGCCCAGGTCATCGGTCGAGGAAGAGCAATGCGTACGGGGTCATTGTCGCCGTGAAACCCGGGGACATAACAATAGAACCGTGGTGGGGTGGCCTCCATGTGAGTCAGTGATGCAGAGTTTGGGGTTTGAAAGCTGGCTGGCTTGTCTTGCTGCTTGTTCGGGTAGAGTAGGCTTTATTTCCACGATGCCAGGGGTTTTGCCACCGCCAATTTGGGGCAGGCGGTGTGACGCCCGGCCGAACTACGGCGATCAGATAAGGTTGCAGGCACGCACCTTATTTGCCGGAAGATATTCTAGCTCCGACGCTAGGCTAGGGCTGAGCCCTAATCAATCAATCACTCCTGGGAACGAACCTTGGCAGGTGCCGGGTTGGTTCAATGTTCCTGCAACTCTGCGAGGGAGCTCAGCTGCGTTCAATAGCTGCTAGATAGGCTATAGCGACAGTCTTCCCTGCGCAGCTTCTAGGGCGTTACAGGCTGTGAGGGTTTTATATCTTTAACGCCCATCCTGTATACGGGAGTATATATATCTTTCTATCTACCTATCTCTTATCTATCTATCACCCAGTCCGTCGACATGTCCGGAACAAATTCCCTCAGTGATGATTCCACCCTATTCCTAATGACGAAATGTGAAAATATTACTTAAAATATCCACCGACAATAATGACACCATGTATCACATAACACTCTACCTCTGTAGGTAAAGCTTCCTATGCCCGTTAACCCAATCGGCTCCCGGGTTCCATCTGCCCTCTCTCCCCAATCTAATCCCTCTTCGACTTGGTCACTCGCTCTTTCAATCGATAGAACATATCGATGCCCATTAGCGCAGCTGTCATTCAGCAATCGCAGAATTAGATATTTATAGTTAGCGTGATTTGTGCAACATGTCTTCGCGGCATTATACAATCTATCCAACAGCAAACCATTTATTTGCACTACACCAACAAGAAAGGTAGAAAATTCAAAAGCAAGTAAAGCTAGCACATACCAAATACAGCATAAGGCGCGTACATATACGTAATCGTCGTCTTCTGCTCGGTCGTGCGATCGGTCCAGCTCCACACGTCGACCAGGCAAGTAAGAGTTGTGATGAATGTCTGTACCGCAAAGGCGAGCAAGTGGACGGGGACCATGGGAGCATCTGTATATGGTTTTTTGTCGGTTAGCTGCCCATGCTTATCGCAGCCAAGGGTTCAAAAGTCCCTCTTTAATGCCACCACTTAGGAAATAAAGAAAACGGGAGATGTTTCATCTAGATTCCCGTTTTAAAATGATGCGAACCATATACAAGGGCGAGGAGATGAAATATGCACCCATACCTCTAAGTATGGCACCGACTGCCCAAATGCTCAGTGGCAAGTGATATACGGCTTCCATGAAAACATAAGCCTTCCCCCACGCGGCCGGTTCCGAGAAGAACTTATCCTGGTACTTCTCGATATAGTCGCTGCGGACCTTGTCGACAAAAGCCGGCCTGATGGAGGGCGGGTAGAGAGGGGTGATGTCCACCACTAAATTTTTGCAAGAGGAATTGGGTTAGTTGGTATGACTTTTTGTTATATATTTGTGCTCAGGGCGCTATTTTTCTGTTTCTTAGCAAATGAAAACTGTTTCGCGCAGAATGGCCCTTTACCTTCCTACGCGCAGCAGCCCTGCAAAAATATCTGCCTCGGAAGAGAACATGTCCAATATGGGCTTTGAACTCCTGGAACCGGCAGCTACCAAAGCAGAGTGTGAAAACATGTCTAAATCTGAGCACATTGATAATGGCTCTACCCCTGCAACACTGAGTGTACAATCTCAAGCTGACCACGAGCATACGGCCCAGAATTCGCTGAGTCAATATGAAATAAACGGCCCCCCGTAAACACAAAACACATACATAATATAATCACAACATGAAGCACGAAGAACGAAAGATAGAAGAGATCGACTTTGCGTTCTGATATTGACTTGTGAGTTGTTGTCATCTTGATTGTTTTGCTATATTCCGTCCGTTAAAAGGCGGGTTGAGAACGGTGAGCTTTGGACTTCAAGGAAAATGAAAATATGAAGCTAAACTGGTATAGTAACGTGGCTATCAAGAAACACGGGGAAGAAACATCGGTAGGTGGGTAAGAATTGAGCAAGTAAAAATGGAATCGAAACAAGCTGGGGGAGAATATGAAGAGAGCGCACCCCATCAGTCTGCGATGCTGTCGATGAGCGGGGAATCTCTGCAGGCTCCATTATTTCACGTGCACAGACTTCTGGGGAAGGCTGTTAAGTTATCCATGACGAAGGGTAATAATTACGAATTAATCAAATGTTGATACACAAAGTGTACGACACACTCTTCTGCTACCGCGACATTTAACAAATATTTAATCGATTAAATTCATCTATTTGTCTCTTTGATCTTCTTTTTCCCCCGATCTCTATCATCGCCATATTTGCTCCGAACTTTATCCATGAAAAAACTAAGCAGGGGGGGGAAACAAGGGAACGGGAATACGCCACAAAACGAGGCTAAATAACGTGTGGGATAAGAAGGGCATGAAAATAAAATAAAACAGGGAGAAGGAAAAGAAGAAGAAAACGCTACTGACATGAAGAAATAGAACAAAAAAACCAAAAAAGCTATGCGGTTTACATGTTTAGATTGCGAATGATGAAAAGGGTTAAAACGGGGATGTCGACTTTTTGAATAATATCACAACAACCAGTGACAACATTACAACGAAAAAAAGGCAGTTATAGTTAGGTGCAATGATGCAAAGGATTATATAAGCCCACTTTCGTGGCTATGGCCTCTTTCATCTTCCTTCCGGTATGTACCGCCTGTAGTCACTGCCAACAATCATGCAGATTATAACAGAGACCGCTGAATCTTGGCCTGCAGATCCCGACATTCCTCAGCTGAAGTATCATCCAACCCACTCTGTTGCAAGAGTAGCAACATCTCCGAAACCCGGTGTGCGCAGACATCGCTGCCAAACGCCCCCGATCCAACTCGAAGTGAATCTTGGAACCAGCGGGAGATCAAGTACAAGAGATCCCGTGCGATGTATCGTCTATTCTTGCCGTGGAACGGAACTTCGTTGGTATAGAACAGCGATTCAAGAACGGTGTATATCTGTTCGTGTGAAACTTGGAGATCGAGGAATAGGTCGACGACCCACGTGTCTGGGCCGACACCTAGCTGCTGTTCCAGGACATATCGGTCGAGCATGGGTAATAGCATCGAGACGGGGAAAGTAGTGTCTGACATCCTGATACGGCCGGAGAGGTTTCTTATTTTTTCGATCACGGCTTCATATGGGAGAGGTGTGCCTCGTGCCGAAGCCTCTTCGTGGACTTCTTGGATTAGGTTCTGCCAGCATACTTTGATATCAGCTGCGTTGCGGTAGTTGGCGAGGTGCATGATATGAAGGCAGATGTCGTAATAGCCACCTGGATCAGCATATAGGTTAAAGAGCTAAAGAGCGGATAATGTTAGTTCACAGTTGTGATTATTTAAGGGAGGTGTTTGTGTTTTCCTAAGTTACCTTATTGAGTTCCATGATCTCTCCGTCAACCTCTTGAAGGACCTCAGATTTGCGCTCTGGAGCGATTCTGGCATCTTCTTTGAGGCGCTGCAAAAGATCATCCTGTACATTAGCCACATCCATCAATGTCGACACTTCCTGAAGGAGTCTTTGCCTCGACGCTCGCGAAATATTAGGTGTAAAGACAGATGCATTTGCCCTGGCTTGGCTGAGATATTCAATCCGTCGGTTCAGGGGAAGCAAGAATGAGCTCTGAGCAAGTTGCAGCTGGACAGATGCAGCCTCGTAAAACCGACTGGATTGTGCGTAATATCTCCAGAGCAAATCTGCGTGTGCGAGGTCTTCGGTGGACTTTCTTTGAAGATAAGTGACGACGAAAGGAGTCTGGACTTGCAGGAGACGTTCACTCCAACCATGCATCAAATACCAGTCATACAGGCTGGTAAGAAACACCTCATCATCGCAGTTTGAGATCACATCATAAGCTTCATTCTTTCTTCGGGCAACAGGAGTAAACTGTCCATCAACAAAACCTGGATCTTGACTCGAAAGGTCGTCAACTGCGAGAATAACCCTATAGATCAAGTCATAACACTGTTTTCGAATCTCGAAGCTAGCTTGCCGAGAATCCTATATCACATCAGCGTTAGATACAATGAAGGTACAAGTGATTGTGTGGGGAATACCTCTGGTGGTCGACCGTCCATGATCCACGAAAGGGCACGATTTGCCTTGTCGGAATGAGCCGCAACACCTAAGCACAGCTGAATTGCCCCTAAAATGAAGATTAGATATTGGCCATTTAACAGAAGGTTGGGAAACAAACATACCAGCAAAAAATTGACTCTGGATATATTGCTCCACGGCGGACTGAAGATAGTCCATTGGCAGGTATTCATCCACTTGTCGAAAAAGGACTAAACTCTCATTGAGCAAATTCCGGCCCAACTCAGAGTTTGCGCCTGCCTCCGACGCTCTCTTCAGCAGTTCTTGAGCCTTGAAGATCACGACATCTTCCGCACTACAGAACGTGCCGCACCTTCGTCGCAGAGCCTCCGCAACAGTCTCCACGTTCGATCCCTTGGCGATATTCCGATTCACTATAGCTTTAACAAGTTCTTTCGCAACATCATGACCTTTGCTGCTACTGAACAGCTCTTCGAATGTGAGGGTTAAAAATCGCTGCTTCGATTCCTCCGGTAATAGGGCGAGAATTTCATCAACTCGTTCATCAAACAGCACGAGAACGAAAGAAATTCCTTCGGTTGTGTCGGAAACGAGCTGAACCATTGAATGTAGCGCACGATGTTCTCCCTGTAAGGCAATCTCGTCCTGTTTTGTGATGGCCCGTGAGAGCGCCTCCGGCCCACTCAATCCCTCGATAAACGATTTGTTCGCGCGGAAGAAATCCTGAAGAGCAGATAAATCTCGCTGAATCGAATGTAGTTTTGAAATCTTGACAGATGGTGAAATAGTAACTCCTCCAGAGGGGGTCCTGTTTTGCTTGGCAATTACTGTTTTCCAAATCGACCTTAAGAGGCGTGAGGTGTAGAGAGCAATACCGGCGTGGCGAGGGGAGGGGATCACAGCGTCAATGGCAGGGGTGGTGGTATCGGCAACAGCGTTCTCATTGAACGTAGGCTTCCCACCAAACTCAATAAATACCTTTCGCGCAAACTCAAGAACATCGGGGTCATTTATCTTCGAAAGACGAGAGTCGGCAGACAGCTCAACTCCCTGACCACAGGCGACCGCCAGAGCCGTCGCCAGTGTCTCGCTGCGGCCATACAATCGTATCAGGGTTTTAACTTGGGTTTCCAAACCTTCTTCACCTCCAGCGTTCCGTATAAGGGAGGCGAAAATATCCACCAGTCGCCGTCTGCGAATAACGTGAATGCCAGTATTAGTTAAAATCGCAATTTCCGCAGCAGGCTTGTCAAACTGAACTGCAAGCTCGTTTCCGGAGCTTTCTGCTGATTGGGTAGTGGATACTGGTGTACATAATCCAATGTCTTCTGCTCGACTACCAAGAGTTAGCCAGATGGCAGTTTCGCCAGGTTTAATAGGGAGTGCGCTGTCCTGGGGACGAGCAAGGCGACCAGAGTCTGGAGTCGATATGAAAAGAGTATCCGTTCGATGCATGGGGTCCTTTGATGTAAAGCAGAAGAAGTAGCCAGGAGGGAATCGCTTGGCTGATCTGGTAGGATCGAGTGAGTGGATGGCGAGTTTTGCACCAAATGAAGCCTGATACGGCGACCCAGCGACAGGAGGTGGCCCTTGAGGAATTTGACTTGGGGGTATATCAGACGGGGGTGTCTTCACATGGTGTGCTTGCATACTGGTCGGCGCATTAGTCGCGGTTGGCGTTGCGGACCAACTATATGTCCCAGTAGCGCTAAGATAGATTCTGTATCCAGTAGCAGTTGTTGCCACAAGATGGTATCTAGACGCCTCTGCGGCTGGAATAGGACTGATAGAAACTATCTTAACCCGAGGATTGAGCGTTTCGTTGGTGCTGATTATGTGGCCAAGGTTCGAGTATATATCGATAGCATGTTTTGTAATGGTAAGGTTAACCGTTCCATCAGGCTTCAAGTGAAATACGCGGATGCATGAGTTCGAAGAGAGTGTGTATAGGAGGTTTCGGCTATCATCGACAACCATCTGCTCAACGTGTTCCGTTGGCTTATGGCCTAGAATAATTGCCGGTGTAAAAACAGCAAAGCTCTTACTTGTGTGGTTCACTTTCCCACATCGGCCTTGGAACCATCGCTCTTCCTGTTGATAGGTGAGTTCATAGACCTCATTGTCAGCAGACCCAGCAAAAAATATCCTCCCGGTCGAGTCTGAGGAGGCAATCACATTGATATCCATGCCTTTAATCGATGTCGCCATCCCAGTTTGATAGAGTGTCACCAGCTTTGCTCCAGAGGTAGAAGTATCGCAACCCAAACCCAATATCAAGACCTCAGCCGTCGTTGAGATAATGAGGATGTGCGAGATTGACGGAAGGAATACGCCAGCTCTGGGTCGCGCAAGCTTGACAGTGTTTATACTATTTGGTTGGCTCTCAAATCCCACCAGCTGCGGATTTGGATGCGTGTAATCCCAGAGATACAATGCATTATCGATAGCAACCCAGGCGTGATTCAACTCCGCAAAAAGGCCCATACTCGTCGATACCTGTGCTCGATTGTACTGGTCGAATATTTGGTCCGGAATATTATACATCTTCACTTTTTGAAACGGCGCCCAGGACGCTGACGTTGGGATATCATAATCGGAAGAAAATCCCTCTGTCACCCTCTCATGTTAGTCTTTCCGTATTTTTATTTTATTTTCTTTTTATTTTCTTTTCTTTTGCTATTTCCGGCAGCACAAGTCACTGCCAACGCTGGGGCTTCCTTAATACATACGGGATAAATAACTGTCCAAATCTGGGT